AAGAATCCGATTAGATTTCCCCTTTCCGCGAACCAAAAAAGTTAATCCCTCAATTTGTCTGCCATCAGAAATCGGTTGAAAAAAAACAGTCGTGGCTCCAGCCCATTCTCGATAGCTAAATCAAGCTTATATTATGGGACATTAACAATCTAGCGCACAGCAGCGCCTAGAGTATCATTTTTGCGCTCTAAAAGGAAAAGAATCGAGTACTTGTCGATTTCATTCACGCTTTTTTTGGTGACACATTGTTTGCATGAAATTTGCATCAATTTGCATAAAATGATCAAGAGTATCTTTGCCAATTCAATTTTCTAATAACAAAAAAAGACATTTCTTCAATGAAACGATAAAATTTCGTAATGCCAAAGTCAATATACATCATTTGTAAATGGCCACTACACGAAAATCAAGAATCTCATTCGATTTCCCCTTTCCGCAAACCAAAAAAGTTAATCTCTCAATTTCTCTGCCATCAGAAATCGGTTGAAAAAAAAAAAACGAAAGAAAGTATTGTGTCTAATTTGATTTTAAAAAAAAGATCAATTAAAAGATTTTTCTAGTACTCAAATTTTTTTTAATTCCCATTTCCTTTCTATATTAAACAGGTGCTGGAAAAAAAGAGTTCCTCATTGGCTCAATTATCGTTTTGTTGATTTTCATTGAATTCTCTTTCTTTCTCTTTTTTGAATTCTCTTTCTCTCTCTTTTTCGAATTCTCTTTCTTTCTCTTTCTCCATTCTCTTTTTCTCTTTAAAATCAAGATCTTTGAGCTCAAAAATCTCATTTTCTAAATAAGAAATTTTGGCGAAAGTTTTTTTTTCTTTAGAAATCATTAATTGGATGCGCAATTTTTGCACTAGTTCACAGAGAAAGCCTTAAAACCCGCCAAATGAATGTTTGGGGTTTTTCGAGAAAACGCAAAAATTTTAATTATTTCTAGAGAAAAATGTTTTATTGGATCTTTGCGTAGAGGGAAATTTCAAATAGATCTGATCATTTTAAAGTTTTCGCCACTTTTTCTCCTTTATTCCAGGGTTTGGGGTTTTGTTGGTAATAGTTGAACTTGCATTTTTTTTTTTGGCCGAACTTTGTATCTTTAGTTTTACATGAGCTATAAATTATGTAAAGCATCGTATTGTAGATAAGATTGTAGATATTGTAGATTGTAGATATTTGTGGCGAATTGCCACTGCTCTGCAGTTAGTCAAAAATTCAATACACAAGTTAAAATTCAAAGTTGATGGATAAACTACCGTAACCAGTCACTAGACGATATTCAGCTGTCCGTTTGTTGTAGCTTGTATACTTAAAAAAACCCGTTATTTAAGCTTTGCTTTTGAGTGAGTGTTTGTTCTCCTCTTTTTGCTATCTTTCATCCTTTTTTTCCACATTCAAGTGTTGAATTAATTGTGACAGTGCCAGGTTGCTCCAGTTTGAGCGAAGTTGCCCTAATAAGGGAAAGTTGGATAAATTGTGCGTTTTCAAGAAGACCACTATTGAACCCTACCGAGACACGGTCTCACAAGAAATTATATAGATCAAAACATAAACATATATTTCTTACAATATTGTAGATTGTAGATATTGTAGATTTTTTTTTTAATGGTGAATACCGTATTCTCTCTAATAGTAGTGCGCACTACTATTTTTTGAACCCCCTCCTGGACCGCAATACTATTGGAGAGTGCACTACTATTAAAGAGTTTTATCATTTACCAAAGTAAGACAGATATAAGATTTGTTCCAAAAATTCTTGCAACTCTTTTGTACTCTTGCAACGTACTCCTTTGGCTCCTTTTGACATACAGTTGTGGGCCGGCGAGTTGACAATTTGTGTGTTGACAAACAACAAAAAAATGTTTTTGCCCTTTGCACAACAATTTTAGATTTTTTGCTAACTTTTTCATGTGAAGAATAGTTAATAAATGAATAAAAAAGCCTCACTTTTGCTTGCTTGAATAGCTTTAGAATGTCACATAAACATAAAGTTAAAAAGGTTTAGATGAAAAAGAAGCACCAGAAATTCAAATTCTCGTGGGTGCACTACTATTTTTTCAACCCCCTCTCGGACCGCAATACTATTAGAGAGTGCACTACTATTAAAGAGTGCACTATTATTAGAGAGAATACGGTATTCTAAATTTAGTCAATCCTTTAGTCCAATCCATAATCCTTTAGTCAATCTTGCTAAAAAGCTGTACAAATTTTAGAAAATGATCTCGAAAAATTTGAACGTTTTCGCTAAAAGCTGGCTTAGTTTTTGAAAAGATTTTAAAAAATAAGACTAATAACGAAAAAAAAAATTGGTCATCGGTTTGAGTCTGGGAAAATTTGCTCGTTGATTTTTCAAGGCTGCTTTCAGAATTGCTTTTGCCTAAGGTGTCACACAACAAGTTCAAGTTCATTTTTGATGATTTTGTGAATCGGAGCTCATGCATCAGCCGGGGACCTCAAAATTCATGTATATGTTACGTCCGATCTGAGGAGACGTCCATCTCCGAGCCGGACGTCCGAATCTGAGGAGATTCATTCTCCTTTTGGATTTTGAGTTCCCCGGTCGATGCATTCACAAAAGCATCAAAAAAAATGAACTTGATCTTGTTGTGTGACGCCTAAGACAAAATCAATTCTAACACCACGATGAGCTTTGAAAAATCAACGAGAAAATTTTTCCAAACTCAACTCAAAAAAAAAGATGATCACTTTTTTTTCCGGACACTCTGCAATTTAGAAAATGAAAGGAATTTAAGCTGAAACAAGGCGATTATTTTTGTTTTCGATCCTTTAATGCACATGGACCCATCCACTCTCCCAATGAAGCAATGTTTTTTCTTGACTTTCCCCATCATTTCCTCTTGACTTCCCCCACGATTCCCATCATCATTTCGATTAATGACAAGCGGAAAAGAATCACTAAAATTATTCACTTTCCATCAATTTGCATCTCTCTTTTCTTTGCCGCATTTCCCGTGCAACTGACTTCATTTATATTTGAATTAGTTATTTATCCCCTAAATTGTGTATAAACACTCAATCTTGGCATTAAAGTTGAAAACTTGAAATTTTTGAAATGAACCTTATCTCATTGTTACGAAATTTTGCTTTATTAGAACAATATTGGCTATTGGGTACTTGTTGGTTATACATCCACAAAGACTTATCTCGGTTAAGCATCCCCATACGAGTCTTCTCGGTTATCGATTTTCGTTCGACTGATCGACTGATCACTTCAGGCGAGCACTCTACTTCAATGAACATACCGTAAATACTGTAATAGTACCCCACCCACCCCTCGTACAGTCGCGTAGTCGCAAAAGTTTTTTGGTATTTCATTTTTTCAAAGAGCCCGTATTTTCAAAAATGCGTCTTTGGTATCAAAAAAAAGCTGAAATCCAGGGCTATTTTTTGATACCTAAGCACGCATTGTAGCATAAACCAGTGTCAAGAAAAACGCGTTCAAAGCTAGACTACGCAACACTCCGCACCGTCATTATGGGGGTGGGGTAATTATTACAGTATTTACGGTAATCACCCCTCACAGGTTGTCACCTCCTTGCTTAACCGAGTTGAGTCTGTGGATTCTCTGTGGATGTATAACCGACAAATACCGGCTATTGTTGTTTAAAACGTTTTCTGAAAACTATTGTATTTTTTTCCATAAGTTTTAACAAGTCTCTATCCAAATACAGATTACGATAGTCTTCGGAAAACGAATCTAACAAAGATAAAGATAGACTTGGTCTTCTGAAACTAAGAGATCAAGCAATTTTCTTAAAAATACTCATTTTGACGTCATTTTTATTTTCAAATACCGGTTATAAAAAGCGAAAAGCTAGGAAATTAGTGTCTGAGAAAAGGAAAGGAATCATTTTTTCAAACCAACTGAAATTTTTCTTTTATTTCAATTTCAAACTTTTTCAATAGAATCTAAGTCGAAATTCGAGTTTTCTTTGCATTTTTATTGTAATTTTTTTTATCTGATTCGATTTTCGCTAAAATTATCTCATTTTATCGACGAAAATTCACTTACTTCATCGTTCATTTTGTTCATAACGGCCGTTCGAGTGCAAGAGTGAATGAGTCGGATAAACGACTATCTTTATCTTTGTTTGATTCGTTTTCCGAAGACTATCGTAGTCTGTTTTTGGATAGAGACTTGTTAAAACTTATGGAAAAGAATACAATAGTTTTCAGAAAACGTTTTAAACAACAATATTATCTTTTCAAGCTAAATAAACCCTTAATATTAGTTGAATATAAAATTTCTTGAATAAATAGCTATCAATTGGTTATCATTGCTACTCTACTTACTACTTACTAGCTATCAATTGGCTATCATTACTACAAGAATATAAATTTCTTGAATAAATAGCTATCAATTGGTTATCATTACTTATCATTACTAATAAATAGCTATCAATTTACTTATCATTACTACTCTACTTCAAAAGATCTCATCTCAGCAATTACAGCATTTTTCAACGTTCAAAATATTCAAAATACCCTTCTTTCGTCATGATTCCTTTATCGCAAAAAGTCAAAGAATCTTTTGTTTTTTGAGAAATAAATTGGGGTTTAATTATTCGTTTCTTATTCGTTTCTCTTTCGTTTTTCTTTCCCCATTCTCCACTCAACACTCACATTTCATTATTAGCTGGATAAAAGAACAAAAAAAGAGATAAAACTTCTTAAAATTCGAGGGCACCGAGATCTCCTTTTTGTGTTTTGTGTGGCGGATTTGTACTGAAGTTCCCATTAAAATCGAGGGGATTGGATTTCGGAAAAGAGCTTTCGAAAATATCAAAACAATTTGTACGCCCACATATTCTATTTTCTAGCTATCATCTTATTTCTTCATTTCTCTCGATTTTCTCAAACATCTCAGCTTTTGAAAGCCACCGGAATCTTACTTGTATTACTGTAATTTAAGCTTACCGTTTAACATTTAACCTAACACATCTATGAAATCTTGTAACGAAATAAGCGATTCCTGTTTTGCAGATGAACTCCTCCTCCTCCACTCAATGTGTCGCGATTTCCACTCACCCCGATCCCACAAATCACCCAGTGATCGTCGCCATTTTTGTCTTCATCTATCTCAACATTTTCACCCTCGGTCTTATTGGGAATACGGCTGTCATTTATCTCACATTGAAGGTGGGTGTAAAGAACAAAGAAAATTCTTCATTTGCTTACAAAGGAAAGGCCTTTTCGAGACCAAATTCATCTTATAGAGTCGACCATAGATCTCGAATCTGTTTTTAGTTTTTGCACAACGCTTCGCAGTTTTTTTAAAAAAGCAAAAGAGTTTGGCGGGAGTGGGACTTGAACTTGAGGCCAGCATAGGTGAAAAGCTCCGGAGTCTAGCGACGATCTACTAGACCAGCCAGACAGTTGCCACAAGACCGTGTGACAGCTTCTTAAGGAGATCGAAATCTAGATATCTGCAAAAACTAAAGACGAAGTCAAGATCCTATGGTCGACTCTATAAGATGGACTTGGTCTGAAGTCAAAAGGCCAGCTTTCCCTGTTAGCTGTTTGTTTATCTCGTTAGTCAAGTACAACTTTCCCTTATCTTATTAGAAATGAGAGTCGGTTCTCAACAATTCTCCATGAATCCCCCATTTCCAGCATCGTCACTTACAAACGGTGCAAAACATGTTCATCCTGAATCTGGCACTCTCCGATGTGATCGTTTGTCTTCTTTCGATGCCATTCACACTTGTCACGAACATCTACAAAGTGTGGTATTTCGGGTCGCCATTCTGTCATCTTCTACCAATGGTGCAGGTGAGAAGATTTCAAAATCATCAAATCATCAAAAAATCAAAAAAGTTTTGATCAACAAAAAAGATTTCTTTAATCTTCAGGGAATCTCGATTTTCGTCTCCACATTTTCTCTATCAGCGATTGCGCTTGATCGGTAAGTTTTGTATCTACATATCTGAGATAGAATTCGATTTTTCAGCTACAATTTGGTCGTTCGCCCTCACGCGCATCCGCTGAATACGAGAGGTGAGGAAAGTGAAAGGAAAATCGAATCATATTTTCAGGTGCTTGTCTTGTGGCAGCGATTCTTTGGGTTGTTTCGGTTGTCGTTTGTCTTCCATATGGATGGTACATGGAAATCCAAACATATCCCGGGATTTGTGAAGAGGTTAACATTTTGAGTTCATTTATTTAAGCCACTAAAACATTTTTTATTACTAAAACAGTTCATTTATTTAAGCCACCTATCGTTTTCATTTGTTTATACGCAATTTTCAAAAGCCAAGATTTCGGTATCTTTCGAAATTTTGACATATTTAACATATTTAGATGGGTTTTCCAATTTTATCTTTTCATTAAAACATTTTACAGTACTGTTCGGAGACTTGGCCATCACCTGATGTTAAACGTGGTTATGCTCTTCTCGTTCTCACCACTCAATTCCTTCTCCCATTCGCCACAATGGCCGTCTGTTACTATACGATATTCTCTGTGTTGAAAGAGGTAAAAATGAAGAACAAATAAAACAAATAACTCCAATACGTTTTTATAGAGATGTGCGGTGAAATTGAAGAAATTGACTGAGCGGAGTCAACTGTTGGAAACGAGTATACCACAGGTAAAACAGTGAAAAGTTGAAGTTAGAAGTTTCCTTCAGCAACTATGGATGATCAAAACTTTAAAATTAGAATTAAATCTAACAAAATATTTAGGAACAAATCGGTGACGGTAATGAAAGCTTTGAGTATCAACAACGATTGACTGTTGTCATGCAACAGAGAAGAACGACAACAATTCTCGCATCAATGGTAACTTTTAGAATTTCTATCTTTCATTTGAAAAGCTTTCAATTAAGAAAAAAAAAGAAGTTAAAGCGTGTAACCCAACTAGAAAACCCGAAATTTAAAAAGCAGCGGTAGGCTACTTTGCGACAAATTTTTCGCACAACTGGGTTGCGCAACTCGCCATAACTTTTTCTAAGTGAACCAATCTTTATGATTTTGGTTTTATTTTGTTGCACTTATTGAGATCTACAAAATGAAACCAAAATCAAAAAGATTGGTTCACTTAGAAGAAAGTTATGGCGAGTTGCGCAAACTACCCAGTTGTGCGAAAAAAAATTTGCGAAAATTAGTCTACCCCAAGAAAGCATTCATGGCAAGCTCTGAGTCTGGGTACGGTAGTTTGGACACGCTTTAGAGCTACCCCTTCCAAATCATTTCAAATATCTTTTTATCAATAAATCTCAGGTATTACTCTTCGGTGGTACATGGCTTCCATATAATTTATTCACTCTTCTTGTCGATTATGCTGATACGGATCTTTTTATGAGAGAAACGATCAATTATGAGTATTTCTTCAGCCTTGTCACGCATAGGTTTTACAAGATTTGAATATTTAGACAAAAAATTTTTGTTTAGTTTTGCGATGCTGACAATCGTCGCGAATCCGATTCTCTATGCGTGGCTGAATCCATCGTTTAAGGAAATACTCATGAAGGTAACGACTAAGAGAAAAGAGGAATAACTTAAAAAAGATCATTTCAGACGATACGCCGGAAGAAATCGAACAGTGACATGAAATATCGGACGAGTATCAGCAAATCGACCGTGAAAGCGTCGACGATCATTGTGAGTTCGAAATTAGTAAACACAATTACATAAAGGCAATGATCAGGTTAGAGAAGACAAGATAAGTCTAAGAGCCAACAAAATTACATTTAAAATTTGCTTTAACACTCAATCATGATGGACAAAACAAAACACAAGATCATGAGTGGGGCTTAACCTTTTGCCTCATAACTTTGCATGGATATTACATTTTAAGTTCATTTTGGTATCATTCAACGCGCAATTTTATTCTGCATCGAGTGATAGTCAAAATAGTCATAAGCGAAAGGTTGGTGCTGAGAAAAACATTTAAAAAAACCCTTAAATTACCAACGGCGAAAAAGGACCAACAGATGTTTTGTTTTCGTTTTTATTTCACCATTTTGCCGCTCCCTAAAGGCGTTCAATTGATTGTGTGTGAATGTTGGGGTCGTCTGGCGAGAGAAATTGTACTTATGTTTGCCAGTTTTATGTGTGAAGCTGGTTTTCTCAATTGGGGATATAATCATATAGTACAAACCTAGTTTCAGGTCTACTAAAAAAATTCCTTAGCCAGACAAAAGTCAGACTTGGAGCGGCTCTAGTCTTACTTGTGCTGGGCCAGGATCACAATTACAGTAACCCCAATGAGGGTTGTTTCAAAGCTAGTGGCAGGTTAAAAGCCAGACGCTGATCTCCGTGATCCTTCTGAATTGCCTGGCCCACTAGGCCTGCCAGAAGCCTGGCCTGATTTCTTACTTTATTTGTAAGCCCACAATTAACAAAATGAAGCTTAATACTTGATAACTTGATACTTTAACTTTAACAAAAATATTACCCCTGAAAACCTATTCTTTTAATGAGCTTTTTATATGAATCCCTTTCAGACAACCTCACAAGCAACTCCATCAATCACAACTCCGAACCGACGATTAGAAGATGGTTATCAATAAAGGAAGATTACTGTAAACAAGATCATTATTTTATAGCTGATCCAGTGCCAAGTGGAGTGTGTTTCTCTCTCAAATAATTCATTCAAAACGTGTCAATTTTTAAAAGCTACCGTAATCGTAATGGGGATTACGATTACGGTAGCTTTATCGTAATGGGGGTTACGGTAAAGGACACGTTTTTGGAAACGAAATAGCAGAGAAAAGCTCTAGTGCAAAAAAGTTGCTCAAATGATAAATCCAATTCCATTTTATCCCATTTTCATATCGATTCTTCTCATTTTTTTAAAAAATTAATCCGTATCGATTGGATATTTGAATGTTTTTTTAGTATTCTTGGTAATTTTAGAGTAATTTTCAAACATTCTTTGTGCTATAATCGCCTATTGCTCGAGATTTTGTTCGATTTTTTTTTTCGCAATAATGTTTTGACTAATAAAAATGTTTGAAAATTTTAAAATGTCAAAACATCGAACAAAAATGAAAAAGCATTTTTGATTTCATAAATTTGTTCATTTATTGAATATTTAATTTGAAGCAAAACAAACAAAAAAGCGGTTTTCTATTTCGTTTTCTCGTTCTCATCTCTTTCCATGATCAGCTTGTCTGGCTGAACATTTCACTGTCCTTTTCCCCCTCCAACAAACATTGTTTAGCCACTTATTGAGTTAAAAATATTCACTTTCAAGATAGCTTTCTAAACATACAATAAATCTATTTCCTCCGAATGACTAAAAGCTAAAAAGCTAAAAAGCTATTACAGTCGAACTTCGATATAACGAATCGCTCGGGACCGAAAACTTCGATAGAACGAACCTAAAAAGTGCCTCAAATTTTCTGCGTAGCTGCCCTGAACGGCCACTGATTGCATTTGGCTGGGACAACTACGCAAAAAATTTGAGCATGATTAAGAATTTCAAATTCGTTGTATCGAAGTTCGACTGTAGTTAGTTTCTCTGAAGTCTAAGAAACGATAGTTGCTTTGCATCTATTGAACTAAAACTGTAATCCTAAGCTATATGCTACAACTTTCCCTTTGCCAACAATTTCATTCATCCCATTGCCAGTGGCCTTTATCCATACCCAAACTTAATCCAAAAGAAGTTTTCTTAACAAAGACTTAAACCCTTTATGACTTAAATGATTCATTTTGCTAGTTTCTGCCTTCCTTTTTTCAATTTTCGAATTCTGCTTGACTGACATTTTGTGGGTTTTGGATAATCTAGAGTGAATGGCAGAAGATTGATTTAAAAAGGAATGAGGAAAGGAATGGAGAAAGGAATGGAGAGAGGAATGGAGAGAGGAATGGAGAAAGGGCCAACGAAAGAAGATTCGACCTCTTTTCCCTCTCCTCATCGACCCAAATGTCTAAAATTGAATGCCGAAAAGAGAGGAAAAGCTCTCTTCACCCTTTTTCTTCTTGAATATTCGATTTCTCTCTCTTTTCCAATATTTTCCCGCCGTTTGTCGTTTCTTCCGATGTCTTTTCTTGTTGGTTGTGTCCATTACACTTTCCCGATTTCTTTTCCCTTTCTCTCCTCATGATGATCTTCTCTAGCTGAATATTCGAGTCTCTCTCTTCCCCTGTCTACTCCATCTCATTCTTTTCAATCTCTTGAACAAATGTCTGTCTTTTTCTCGTTTTCAGAATTAATTCAAAGTCTTCCACTCCGTCTAGACAGTAGTTCAAGGCTGGACTGTAAAGGAACGATCTCTTAACTTTAAAGGAAAGGTTATGCATTAAAGATAACAGGATAGGTTATGGATTAAAGTGAAGAACATAGATCTGGTTGTCTTTTTCACCTCTTCTATAGAGCTCAGGGGCTCTCAGGGGCCTCAATGTGGGGAAAGGAGTGGGAGAGAGGCCAGCCACTGCACTCCTGTCCCTGAAAGGGAGTCCCACCCCTCCACCGTGTCCCCATCTCTTCACTTCCCCCAATGCAGCTGTGTTATCCCTCCTACTCCTGCCCTCTTCTCCCTCTCTTCTCCTCCTTCTGCGCACCACATTGCATTCCAAATTTTTGTCTCACTCCTCTCGATTTCTGTGTCTGATTTTCATCGACATCCCTCTCTTTTTTTTTTCTATTTCTTCTTATTTCCCTTCGATGTTTTTATTCCAAATAAACATTTTTTTGCTTTGAAGTTGCCGGAATCATTTTTAATATTGAAAAATGCATCACGAGATAGCTCCCGAATTTTTGATTTTTCTCACTTTTTTAAAATTCACTCATCTGTTGTAAAATTTTCTTTTTCTTTGCAAACATGCTGTGACGCTAGGATACAGTAATAAACAGGATTTGTGTCAATTCAATGAGATAAGGAATTGACGGAAATGATGTAAAAGAGGCAAGTGATCACAAGAAAACACAAAAAGGAGAATAATAAAAAGAAGATTTCCTTAGAACTCAAAAATCTTGGACGTCATTGAGCCATGAACCGAGTGGGCCCCTCCCTCCAAATATCCAACGGGATGGGCGGAGATTTCCTTTTCTCCGCTTTCTTTCTTTTTCTTTTCCATCTTTTCAAACGTTTCACGTTCGTTTTTTTTCCACTCCCACCCTCCTCTTGGCCTTTCTTCATCCATTCTATCTCCCACGTGTGTCATTCTTGTGCTGGCCATGGGCTTGAAAGACTCTCACTTCGCACAAACTTCAGTGTTCAGTTCTTTAGTTCTTGAGCTTTTCAAAATTTTTTTGATTTATCATTAAGCGAGCTGTTCAAGTAAAATCGAATCGGTTACTTTTGAAATTCTAAAAAATTTTTGTGATTCTCGTCAACGAATGCTCTAAAGATTTCTTTCTGAAAGCTTTCTTATTATCTTTTTTTTTATCATTTTAGCTGCTTTACCTTTTTGTTGATGTTTCTCTTTTTGAGGTTTTGACTGAAAAGATGAATCCGATTCGAATGTCACTCCTAAAATCAGATTGGCCAGATTCGTCAGGTAAAATTGGGATATTGATTAAATGGATTAAATGTAAAGATTAAATGGACCATGTAAAGTTTAAAGGTTTAGATAATAAATAATAAAGTATTGTCGATTTCTAAACCAATTCATTTTCCAACTTGCAGAATCTCGTCAACGAATGCTCGAGTCGGCGTCGAGCAGTCAATTCCCTCAATACTATGAGGTTGGGTATTTTGTTATTTTTAGAAAAAAAAGAACATAGAAAATGTTCTAGAATGAAAATTTAGCCATTAATGACTTAAAAGGTTAAACTGACCATTCCATTGTCTCAGCGGAGAATCACATTGACAAACACACCCTTTCATTCCTCGATTTTATCTAGAAATCTATCTAGAATTGTCTAGAAAATTTGATTACTAATATTTCTTTTCCTTTAACATGACAAAAGTTGAACCAATAGAGCTCCCGAATCGACAAGAATCTTATCAAGTAAGTCAATGAACTATAAGATATTCAGTTAAGCAATGGAAAGAATGAAGCCAATGAATTCAATGAATTCAATTTCCAAAGTTTTGCAGGCAACTCTCAAAGAGAAAGTGATACAATTGTTGCGTCGAATCAAGCCAGCTTTAATCATTTTCCTCACACCAATGATTTTCTCATTTTTGCTCATCAACGGACAAAGGGTGAGTCCTTTTTTTGGAGAACAAATCTTGAAGTTGACGTAAAGAATCTTCAACAAACCTTAACTTTAGAAAAGTTTACCCAATCTTTTACTATTTCTACGAAACTTTTCGTTACTGATTTTCTGAGTTCCTCAATCGAAAACTCAATTGAAAACAAAGCTAACTAAAACTTTGTAGTCGACATTTGATATAGAATCATTGAATCTCTCAGCTACTATATAAAAGAGAAGTTTCCGTCCGTCTGTCTGTCCGTCACACTCTGAATCTCGGCTCTCCGTGAATCGATTTCGACAAACTTTCTTTTTGATAAGATTCTCGTTTATCAGCTTTAACCTTTTAACCATTTTTTCTAGAGCTTGATCAATCGAAAACTTGTAGTCTAAACTTGTAGTCGAAAGCAGACAAACTTTTTTCCCAGTTTCTTATCTTCGAAAATCGTTTGATTTTGGGGAAAAGAGTTTTTTTTTATCGTCTGTTCGATTTTTAAAGATCTTTCCCTGCAAAGATCTTTCCCTTTTCCTTTTGATGGGAAAACGATAAAGAAATCTTTGCAGCCAAAATCCATTTGGGTGTTTTTTAAAGAATCTCTTCGATTTCTTTTGATCGCTTTGTGGCTGAGAGTGTAAAAATGACCGCTAAGGAAAAAGGGAAAAGAAAGACAGATGGATATTTTTCTCTTTTCTCTTTTATCTTTTATCTTTTATCTCTATCATTGTTGCAGATCGAAATTGACATTTTTCTAAGAATAACCAAAGGGGATTCGAAGACGAAAACAAGGAAAAATGGCTGGAATAAACAAAGTAACAAATCATCGAGCTGAATGGATACTTTAAAAACAATTTTTTCACCAAGATTTATCACGATCTGTGAAAGGACTTACAGTACTTTTGACTGTACTGTAAGTACTGTAAAGTTTTCCAAAAAATATCCGATTCCATTCCAAATCCACCATTTCAAAGATGTGTGTTCTAAAAGGCATTTTCAAAAAGCTACTGTAACCAACTTTCGTTCAACTCCGAAAACAGATTATAAGCTTTGAGATCCTTGTGATTTTTTGATTAACTTTCGTATGGAGTAGACGAGGAAATTTGTTCAACTCGATCAAAAAAGGGAAAAGAAAACAGAAATTGCGAAATGCTGAGAGATTCATAAAAACAAGAAGACGAAGCGTTCAGAAGTGAAAAAAAAAGAGGAAAGGAAAGAGAATTCTAGAATTCTTTGCTCTCTTCATTCATTCCAATATTTCCTTTCTTTGCCGCTTTCTGACGTCGTGCGACGAGTGGAGACCACCTCCTCGGGGCAAAAAGGGAATGGGGGAAAAGGGGAAAAAGGGGAAACGACCCTCACCCATATTAGATGAAAATCGTTTGCAGGTGAAGCTGTAAGTGAATGGGAAGATGTCTTTCAATGTGTTCTTCTCAAATAATCCGTTCTTTAAAAAAATTATAGGCAAAATTGCTACAAAAATTATTCGTCACTCATTGCTAGTTTTAAAATCGTCAAACTCTCGTATAAATCGAAACCTCTGAAGTGACATAGTTCCAGGGATGACTGTGATGCCTTTCTCCCCCCCATCCCCCTCAATTCCTCCCTCAATTCACACAGCTGAGTCAATCTCTTCTCTTCCATATAAAGGCCCTAAAAAAACTTTTTCCAACCCCCGGAAACACGTCAAATCCCTCTTTTTTCAAAGTGACAATGAAAGATTTTCATCGAATTTCCCGAGAATGTTTCTGTGATGTGATTTTGAAAAGAAATGAACTAAAATGATTGGAATTTGGATATTTTTGGGGGTTGTGACCATGGAAACATGGGAAAGGGGCTAATTTGGAAATGAATGAAAATGAGGAGGAAATTTTTGAAAGATCAGAAAAGTGATGAATGAATGTAAACTTTTAGGAGTTCCGATGCGCGTTCTGCGTTTGCGTGATGGCCGTTTACTGGATGACCGAGGTGAGGATTGAAATCAAAGGAAAAGGCCATAATGCTATAAAATCCTAAGAATATAGCTTTTGATTAGTTAAGGGTATTCGAAGAAGGAATTTCTTGGGAGTAGCCGGGTCAGAGCCAAGACGCTGGCTGGCCTGGGGAGGGATAGAACTCTTCATTTAGCAACTGTTTAAGTGACACAATGGTTGGGCAGGATGCAGAATTTGTAGGAAAAATGGGTCAAATTTGGGGCAAGAATTGATCTCAAAAATTTGCTCATGGTGACGTCAAAACCGGCGAAGCTTTCTTCCACCTTTACTCATTCCAAAAAAGGAAGCCCCTTATGCCGAGGGGGTTTGTCAGATGACGAGCGATTGTGCGCGCGCATAAAGAACACCTTTTCACAGAGGAATTTTTCGTTTGCTTTGTACAAAAGAAGATATTCAGCTGTGAATTTGTACCCGTGGGTTTTCGGGGTTGGCGAATCGATTGGCGCTATTCATTTTATTGGTCTACCATCAATATTCGTATCAACATCATTATCCTTGAATTCATTTCAGGTGATGCCCCTTGCCGTGACAGCCATGCTGCCTGTTGTTCTTTTCCCATTCACGGGCGTTCTCGATTGCAACAACACCGCTAAAGAATATATAAATGTGGGTACCAATTTTACTTTTCATCTATTTGTTGGTTCAATCATCTCACTTCACAAACACCCACCCGCTAAGCCGTTTTCTAATTCTTATTCATTTTCGGAAAAGACATATTTCTCCAATAGATTGTTTACCCTTGAGTGGGTGAGGTTTAATCGTTGATTGGTCCTAAATGAACTTTGGAAAACAATCGATTAAAAATACAAATAATATAGCAGATATCCGAGGATAAAACATCAATAACCTCAATCATTTCAGGACACAAATTTCCTCTTCATCGGCGGTTTGATAATGGCGGCAAGTGTGGAAAAATGTGATCTTCATGAAAGGTATTCAGCTAAAGGTTACTCTATTTTTCGAAGTCTATCTATTTGATAGCTATTTTCTATCAAAAATATCAAATTCTATCCATTCAGAGTTGCCCTTTCGGTGCTCCGTCTCGTCGGCAGTCAACCGAAATGGATCATGGCCGGTTTCATGATTGTCACCGCGTTGCTCAGGTATTTTGTTTAGAGTTCTGCAAAAAGTAAAATTTAAATATATTTTATTTATTACAATCAAATAGTAGCGCTTTCTCTTGTTCATTTGTGCGTTGCAAAATCGCGCGCCGTTTGACGCACCCCTTGCACGGGATCTTTAAAAGGGAAACTTAAAATCAAAGTTGGCTTTGACGAAAAATTAAAACAAAAGCATAATGACAGTTACCAAATCATTGGATCTGAGCCATTTTTTGAACCATAAATCTTAAGATTCAAAACTGAAAACTGAATGATTTCCAGCTTCAACCTATGCTTTACTTCAAAAATGTCAAAAACATTTCACTCATTTCCCATTCTCACTCATCGTTCGTGCAAATCGAATACTTGAAAAGCTTTTTTGCTCTTTTTTTTCTTCCCCGGGTCAACTGTTCTCAAAATAGAAAAATCTCCATCCAAACGAAGCTCTCGAATCGATGAAAGAAACGAAGAAACGAAATAGGGTGTCAAATTTAAGGTAACCGATCTGTCATGAAAAAATTCAAGATACGGAAGATTAATAAATATTCTAGGATATTGCAAAAGTACAGTACTTTCAAATAAACCTTTCATAAAGGGAGTTCTTGCGTGCTTTGTCATGATTAAAATTGTGTTCTAAATTTTCATTTGCACTTATTAGAACCACTTTTTGCCCTTTTAATCGTTTTAATTTGATTGGCTTTTAAAGAACTTGAAAAACTGAGAGTTTTGACAAGGAAATTTGAGACTTTTCAGAAGCTTTGGGTTTCCAAAAAGCTTGTGATCATATGTGGGTCCTGTGTTGCTCTTGCTGGGCCTGCTGGGGGCTGTTCGATGTTTCTTTCGGGAGGAGTGGTCTTCGGGTGGCCTCATGACGTCCCCCTCCCTTTATCCCTCACCTCACTCTGGTTCTCTTTTTGAACTGAGGTGGTCGCTTGTCATTTTCCTTCTTTTTACCTCAAAGGTCCTCAAGCCAAGTGAAGCACCTTTTCCCCCATCCATTCATTCAACGAACCGCAAGACAATGGAAAACTTTCTTTTGAAAACATGAGTTCAAGCGATTTCCTCCTTTTTTGCCAAAGAAACATGTGACAATGTGAAACGTGGAACTTCAGGAGAATGAGAAGTTCGATATCGATTTGAGTTAAAGTGCATCTTATAGAGTTTGAGATGCTTTTTATTGTTCACTGCACTTAACTGTAGTGAACAGCTTACTGGTTACTCCTCTAGCCTTTCTTTTCCTTCAAGTTTCAACTTTGGACTTCAAATGCGCAAAACCCATCTTTTCCCTGAGCACACAAAAGAGCAGAATGGGTGGGTCTATTTCTGATCAGTGATATTTATGGATGAAGAAAAGGGGGAAAGGGATGGCGCCAAGAGTGATCAGTTCTGAGGGGAGAAAAATTGAGAAGTGCTATCGGGCAAACAGAAGAAGATTCCCTTCCACTCACTCACTCATTTTGACGCACTCAAACCATCTGGGTTCATCTCTTTTCGGGTAAGTTCATGGAAAAAAAGCTGAAAAAACAAGTTTGGGTCAACCAAACACTTTGCACCTTGAAACTCGGCGAGATCAAAGAGTTGCATGGATGGACAGGGCAGGGTCAAAATTTCCAGGCCAGCCAGCACAACAGCTCTATTTTAGAGTAATTCAAATTGAAACTCGACATGATAGGCAGACATCCACTACCAAAACTTCTAAAGCTATCAGATATCCATACAAAATTTAAGAAACAATCAGGATTTTCGTGAAAATTTGAAGAGAAGCTCAAAGCTTTGCACATCAACACTGTTTCTTTTTGTAAAATTTTACTTCTGGGAATCCCAAGAGTAAAATTATTACCCAAGGGAATTACGGGAAAACAAATTAGACTCTATGGAATTCGAAAAAGCTGACCTCTCATTCTTTGTTGTCCTGGCGTTTCATTTCTTTTGTTCTTTTCTTCACTTCTTCTTTCTTAACTTCTTTCTCTAAATCATAGCAATTAACCCCGGTAAATTTTTTAAAATAAAGGAAATATACAGAAAAAAAAACTGTCCTGGCAACGTAGTTGGTGCTCTTCTCCTTTTGTCGGCCATATTGTTCCATTGTTTGTTGTTTCTAAAAAGAAATATTTATTTAAAACATAAAATTTCGATAGAAATAGAAAAAGAAATAAAAAAAGAACAAGAAACGGTTTGGAAAATGTACGTAAAAGAAAAATAAAGAAAAAAAAGAAAAAATTTTGCAACTTTAAAAAATAGCATCTTTTAGAAAACGCGTTCAGAAACGAGCACTTTTTAGAAAACATGATTTTAACGATTTGATTTGTTAGAAGCTATTTTTTATTTCGATTAATAGAAATGAGAATAGAGCAAATAACGTAAACTGAATGACGATCGCTTTTCAGCATGTTCATCTCGAACACCGCCACAACAGCGATGATGGTCCCTATCGGTCAATCGGTCATCTCACAACTCGTCGAATCTTTCGAAGCACACCCAAATACGGGAAGGTTTGTGCCAAAAATTGTGCCAAGTTCTTATCGATAACTCTGTACTTTCCCCTGTGATCCTTTTTACTTTTCTTTCGGTAAAATCAAAGGCAAAAATGATTTTAGCAGTCGATTGGGTTGCCGAAAAATGGCCACCGGTTTGGTGTTGTCGATTTGTTTCGCGGCGAATATCGGTGGAACGGGCACAGCCACGGGGACACCCTCAAATCTTGTGATGCTTGGGCAATTAACAAAGTAAGTTTTAGAAAAATGATTCCAGAGAACAAAGAACAGAGAACATTCTAACTCTTTTCAGCCTTTTCCCTGCCGAGGACGGTTCGTTGAACTACATCTCGTGGATTTTCTTCGCCGTCCCGTTGATGTTGGTTTGTTTGATTTGCTGCTGGGCGACACTATGGGTTTTCTTCTTGAGGGTTCGTTTTTAATGAAGTTTAAAGTCTAAAAAGCTTTTAGAAGGCTCCGGGAGAGGATGAGCATGTCACAAAGATGCTTCACGAAAGATATGAGCAATTGCCGAGGATGAGGTGCGTTCAATTGAACTTTTACTCTATTTGGCGCATTCAATACACAATAAAGTTCTAAAATGTGTTGACTTTCGAAAACTATCGTAACCTTGCCTCTAGCTTTATCCAATCAATCGATTTTTTGACGTCCCATAGAATCAGACAAAACGTAGAACTATTAGATAAAAGATATCAAGAACTGGATTGAAACTAGAACCAAGGTTACAGTAGTTTTTCAAAAACTGACACATTTTAGAAAACGCAAGGCGAATATCTACCGTAAATACTATAATAGTACCCTCGTAAAGTCGCGTAGTTGCAGTCGCAAAAGTTTTTTAGTGTTTCATTTTTTTTCAAAGCGCTTGTGCTTTCAAAATCCGTCTTTAATGTCAAAAAATAGCCTTGAATCTCAGCTATTTTTTTATATCTGAGCGCGAATTTAAGCGTTGATAAAAACGCGTGTTTTTTTATCAACAAGTGTTGATAAAAAAGCGTTCAAAGCTAGGCTACGCAGCACTCCGCACCATCATTATTAGAGCGGTGGGGTACTATTACAGTATTTACGGTGCCTTAATAACCCTTTTTCTTTAGTTATGCCGAGAAATCGGTGTTCTCGTGTTTTGTCTTGCTGCTCTGTTTGTGGATGTTCAGAAATCCGGGAGTGGTACCTGGATTTGGGAAATATTTCGCCAAGGGGTAAGTGCTATAAACAAATATTAGCCTAAAATTCAATTTTAGTTATTACACGGATGCAACATCAGCAATCATCGTCTCAATGCTTCTCTTCATGTTACCCGCCGAAAAACCCGAGCTTTTAAGGATATTCAGGCCTGGTAGGTTCTAAACAAAAAATTAACAACAAGTTTCAAGTTGCTTAGAAAATAGAAACCTATTCAAAAGTGCAAATATTTTCAGAAGAAGTGAAGAAAGGGCCGCCGCGGTTGATGGATTGGGCTACAATGCAAAAGAGTTTCCCATGGAGTGTCGTGTTGTTGTTGGGTGGAGGTTTCGCTCTAGCTGCAGGCGAGTCACTAGTTCAAATTCAAAGTGTCAAATTGTCAAAGTCAAAACTTCAAGTATTATTTTTATGTTTTTTCAGGTGTCAAAGAATCTGGGCTGTCTCAAATGCTTGGTCAACATATGAGCGCGTTGAAGGGACTTGATTCGTGGGCACTACAGGTATTTGATTTAAATTATTTGCAAGTTATCGTAAAGCTTACAAAATTTACATATAAATTGGAGGAAAACTAGTTTAGCATAAGCTTTTAAAAAATCAAGTAACGTGATGGTTCAGGGATTATGCATGGCGATTGCGATGTTGGTGACAAATATTTGCTCGAACACGGTGACCGCGAGCATCTTCGTGCCGATCGTCGCCACTTTGGTGAGTATCAGAGTATCAGAGTACTGTACTATAGATAAACTTTTGCAAATACAAAAGGATTTCAATTCTAAAACCCTTATAACTCATCGCTTTTCAGGCGCAAGAGGTCGAAATCCATCCATTCCAACTGATGTTACCCACGACTCTTGCCTGTTCATTCGCTTTCGTTCTCCCAGTGGGCACACCGCCGAATGCGATCGTTTTCGGCTCAGGAATGGTCAAAGTCTCTGACATGGTTCGTAAACAAATTTCAGTTAAATTCGATTATTTGAAAGAAAAACTTGCATTTATGCCTTATGACAACACCATCTTTTAGTACTTCAAATTATGTTTCAAACAAAATGGAAACCATTTCAGATGTTTGTCGGTTTCGTCTTATCCCTTGAGACTCTCTTCTTGACGATTGTCTACATGAAAACGGCGGCGCTCGTTTTCCTTCCTCTATCCGATTTCCCTGCTTGGGCAGCACTTCCCGGTTCTTTAAATGAAACACTTCTCATTTAGAGAATTTTTCCTTTAAAAGGACGATCAGCTTTCCCAAAGACATGCTCATAAAAGATTTCTTTGTCAATAGAGTTTAGGAGATTACGGTAGACAAATCCAAAAACCAACAAATACTATTTTGCACTAATTTCATCGATAAATGATTCTCTCTAGCTTATATATATTCAATTTTTCACAGTCATTTCTCTCGCAAAATGAGTTTATTCGTTAGTTTAAAGTCTCCAATTATGACGGGCAATCCATTTGAATGATGGTAGAGCATTTTTTTCATGTCTCAAAAAAGAAACGATGTGTAGCTTTTGTGTGTGATTATGAAACAAAGTTGGCGCAACTATTTTATAACAATTTTATAACAATGGCGCAACTTTTTTATAACAATTGTGGCTTTACTCATATTTCGGGATTTAATTTGCATAGCTTGATATCAATTTTGAAATCAAGATTCAAGATATTCAGTTGAGACCTCCCGACATTTACCAAAGTCCAATTTTCCCCAAAATTGTCTGAAAAAGCCCCATATCCTTGAGAGAACTACTAAAACCGGCATAATCCCAAAAAATACGGTCAATTTTATAATAACCTTCATTGTGTGATTTTCTCAAAAAATTTTTGTTACCTAGGGGTGCTTTCTGCTCAGCAATCTATATACGATTTTTGTGTTTCTTTTTTTAAAATTTATAGTAGCCTTAAAGACTTTTCTGAATTCCGGTGTACTGCACAGGGTTGTCATCGAAATTCTCCAGATATACGAAAATAAAACAAAACTTTTTCGAAACATTTATGGCTTTTCGGGTTCTCCTGCAATCAACTCCAATATTTCTTCTCGACTTTCTACTTGTAGTTGTAAATATTTGCGTGCAATCGATCGTTTAGATGAATAAAATTTGTATTCTTTTTGAAAACACATCACCTGCAGATTTATTTATGGAAAAATCAATGAACATTTATTAGGCACTGTTCTAATCACTGCTAAGATCAATCCACAGGGAATTTTTCGTTATCAATTCGCGCATTAACAATCGAGAAGGGGAATGTTAGAGAAAATTAGACAAAAAAAGTAAAAATGAGAAAAGAATCGACCGAAATTTGTTAAACCTAAAGATTCATTTAGATCCAATGTTATTGCTACAGTATAAAAAGATTGTTAAAAAGGATTAAAAGAAATGAAAATTCTAAGAAATAAGAAGTAATTAAGAAATAGACTAAAAAAATAACTCAAGCAGAGTATGCATTGCTTGTCACACGGCCACCATGTCCTGTCCAATTGGTGTGCACCTAAGAAAACGTGTTGAAAAATGCTCAACTTTATCAATGTTACCCATTTTCCCGGTTCATCCACAAGTTCGTAAGTGTGGGCTCCAAAGTAATCGCGTTGGGCTTGCAAAAGATTTGCGGGGAGAGTCTAAAAAAACAGAATCTGTTGCTGACAAGTGATTTTTATAAGGGAACAAAAATAGACTCAGAAAAACTTACTTCACTAGTGTAACCATCGTAGAAAGCTAAAGCGGCAGACATTGTGGGGAGTGGAATTCCCAATTTGACACCGTCCGACACCACAACTCGCCAAGAATGCTAGAGAAAAAGGTAAATATATTCCGATCATAAAAAGTTTACCTCAGCCTCCTCAAGTGCTTTCACAAAGAAATCATCGAGAAGTAGATTCGTCAGTTCAGGATTGGTGTCAAAGGCCTAAATTATTTTTTAACAAAACAATAAACAATGATTTACCTTTTTGATATCCCCAAGGAAACGACTTCGAATAATGCATCCTCCTCTCCACATCAAAGCGATCGCTCCAAAGTTGAGATTCCATTTCATTTCTTTAGAAGCCTCACGTAAAAGCATGAACCCTTGAGCATACGAGACCACCTTTGACGCATACAGAGCCTAAAATTAAATAAATTCTTAAAAAAGAGCCTATATTTACGTTTTTATTAAGTTTTGACTTGCCTTGCCAATGTGTTTGATAAAACCTCGTTTGTCAGGAATCAATTCAGCCACGTTGAAAGTCTTCTTCTTGAGTTTAGCGGCAGCTTTCACGCGTTCTTCCTTCAGCGCCGATAAACAACGAGCAAATACCGCTTCAGCTGAAAAAAAAGAAATTCAAAAACTATTTGAGAAAAACTTACAAATTAGGGTCACAGGTTGTCCATAATCGAGTGCCGCTATGCAAGTCCATTTTCCAGTACCTTTCCAAAATAATCAAATTGTAATAGTTTTAAACATCTTTAAAAATATAACGAGTAAATGATTTTACCTGTCCAGCGGCATCTCGTATTCTTGGCAAGAGAGTTTTTCCGCTTTCGTCCTTGAACTTCAAAATATTGGCTGTGATCTCGATGAGAAATGAGTCAAGTTCGCCTTTGTTCCAATTGGCAAACACCTAAATAAAATCGCTAAAATTTTTTTTTAAAGCGTAAATACCTCTGCAATATCATCATGCTTGAGTTCAAGCCCTTTGTGCATAAGATCATAGGCTTCAGCAATCAGTTGCATATCTCCATATTCGATTCCGTTGTGCACCATCTTCACAAAGTGTCCAGAGCCTCCTTCTCCAACCTATAAAAAGCATTATGCAGGTAATGTTTATCTGAAATTACCCAATCACAGCATGGTTCTCCGTCACTCTTTGCAGCGATTGATTGAAAGATTGGTTTGAGGTGTTCCCAAGCAGCTGGGTCTCCACCAGGCATCAACGATGGACCGTATCTATAAAAAAAAGTGAAGAACATGAGAAATAATTAACCTTGCGCCTTCCTCACCACCCGAAACACCACAACCCACATAGTGAATTCCCTTTTCTTTGCACTTGGCAGCACGGCGCTAAAATATATAGATAAACGCTGTCATTACTTTTACACTCTAGTTTACGATTAACCATTTAAAAAGGCATACATTGGTGTCCGCATATAAACTGTTTCCACCGTCGATCAAGATGTCACCTTCTTCTAACATAGGCATCAAGATATCCATCGTTTGATCGACAGGAGAGCCCGCTTTTACGAGAAGCATAATTCGGCGAGGCTTCTTCAGTTTTCTAAAAACTTTGACAGTAATCAAAAGGATAAGATATATTTTACCTGATCATATCTTCCCAGGATTTGGCACCGATAATCTTTGTTCCCTTGGCCTCATTTTCAAGAAACGCATCCACAGCCGAGACGGTTCGATTAGCAGCAACCACCTAAATAGAAAAGTACATTTAAATCCGAGATTGTAACTTTGCTTTTAAAAATATTTACTAGCTAGTTACGAAGCAAAATGCACCCGTATTTAGCTATTTATCTCAGTAGCTTTGCTTAACTGACACAAAAGGCTCAATAATAAAAAGAGCTAGACAGGTAACCTCTCAACAATTTTACAATACATAAAAATTACCGTGAACCCGTGATCGTTGATGTTGAGGATGATATTTTGCCCCATCACGGCTAATCCCACCACAGCGATGTCTCCCTGCGCTTCACCCATCTCAACGCGAATTGCAATTCGTTCTGAAAATAAAAAAAACATAAAAGTAACTTTGAAAAATGTTTGTCGAGAATTCATGCATTTGAGTTGATAAAAAAGATTGAAACGGAACACTAGAACTGGGCATGTTTGCCGTGGAATGGGAATGAAAAGGGGAAAAGAGGGGGGAAATGGGAAGGAGAGAGGCAAAAACAAACCACAAACTAGAACACCGCAATAACCCCGAGGAACATTCTAGGGGGAATTTGTAACATGAGACATCTGCGTCTAAGCAATATTCGATTTGTCATCTAGAAAAATAACTAAAATGTTTCAAATGTTTATGAAAATTAAATGGAACGGAGTTTGAAAGGCTGAGAAATAAACACGCGTTTCTATGAATCGATCTCGGGAAAAGGGGAATGGGGTGATATTTAAGAGGCGAAAATTGGTGAGTCTCAAGAAGAGTACGCGTGAAACTTTCAAGAAAAAATCTTCGACAAAGTAAAAGTCAAATAATGAAATAGCTTTAAATTTGTATACATATCAAAGCCTATTGTTTTTTGTATACGTCTATTGTACTCTTCGTTATTTTGCAGCTATTTACTTAACAGATTCACGAAGGCACGGTACATCGGTGTAACATCGATGTTTTCTCGTGAATGCGTGGATCAAAAATTCTGAGAATTTGTGAGTATATGTAACTTTTTATCCTTGATCAGAATCTGTTTTCAGTTTTCAAAGCGGTAGTTTGTTTTTTTCTGAAAACGCATAAAAACCACCGCGACAGCTTCTTTGTGCCTATCTTTCATGCCGCTCGTAGGAAAAAGCGGCGTCTGGCACATTGCCCTGGATGTGGGGTCGCTATTTTTGGGTAATTAACCCGACTTGAATATATCTATTTCCACAAAGGAAATCTCTAGTTTTTATGATCGGAAAACAAGTTTAGTGCCTAAATGACTCTTAAAACCACTATCACAAATCCAGGAAACGCCTGTAAACGTGGAACGCGTGGAAAGCATTCAGCACATGCTCAAAATGAATAGCATTGACATTTGCCGGCAAACGAATGAAATTAGAGAAAAGTTAATACGAAATTCAAAAGCAACACCCTCAAAAACCAAATTGTGCAAATTTTGAGCCTTTTTGCTGACAAAAAAATGTCTTCGTCGTGAATGTGATTTTGTACTTGATTTAAAAAAAAATCACTTGTCGGGGGTGGGACAAAGGTGCACCTTTTTTTGCGCACCCGACCAAAAGCGCACCTTTTTTTTCGCTGGAAAAGGCCTTAGAAAAGGCCGTTGAGCTTTAAAAATGTTTTCATAGAAGGGAATCGTATGCGTAGATTCCGAATTTCGACAAATCTACGGCCTTGCTGACAGCGTCAAATTTGGGCTAAGAGCGCAAAAACTACGCAACTTAACGCTTTTCCCCAGTTTTTGCCTTTTAGCAAAACCAAACACCCCCTCTTTGCCTGACTTGTTTTGACCATAAAATTTAATTGATTAATAGGATTTCAAATGCTACAATAATCAAATAGCTTTCGATAACAAATTTCCGACTGAACTGTTCTCAATTCCTCTCATTCGCGCACATTCTCTACCGTGTTCTTTTTATTATTGTTATTGTGCAAAGAGCTAGCTTTTCAACAAGAAAAATGTTGAACAAGTTCCAGAGTACACACAAAATAGCACATCAGAAAAAAACGATTTTTGTCCTGTCTTCCTCTCTTCTCTCTTCAATCAATCGAAAACTAATGGGATTTTGTCTGAGTGGAGGGAAGTGCTGTCAAAATCGGCGCGATTTGTTGACTCGCGATGTCTCGTGGATAATTTATCGTGCAAAAAGAAAACAAGAGGTTTTGGCGTAAAGGTGATAAATTATTTTCGTTTTTCATGAATTTCTTGGTCAAATGAGATGGCAACTTGCAAATAACATTGCAATTTGCATGTAAGCTTATAAATCAAATGCAAATTCTGTACCCACATAGTGCATTCACAGAAAAGGGAGTGATTTAAGAGGAATTTGAGAATCACCTTAACAAACAAAGTCGGTAATCAACTCAACAAAATCAACAAAAATCAATCAGTATTTTTTTCATGCAAATCAAAAAAATGTTTCAATCTGTGTACTAAGTGGATACAGTAAGTTTGAAAAGAAAAAAAAGTAATGTACTTTATGTACAGTTTCAGTATTGTAGTTCAGTATTGTAGTACTCTATTCAGTAGTTCCAGTTTCATAGATGAAAGATTTCATCTCTCACTACGAGATGCTGGGATAAAAATGACCAATCGGCAAGACTAAATATCTAAATATCTTTTATTTCATTAAAGATCTTTTGGAGTACTGTAGATGAAACTGTAATTTGCTCTATAGATTTGCTCTATAGATTTGCTCTATAGATTTGCTCTATAGATTTGCTCTATAGATTTGCTCTATAGATTTGCTCTATAGATTTGCTTATCAGGTAAAGTCTAGCGTATTGATCGACTTTGTGCATCAAAGTCTTTACAAATGATGTCACCTTCGCCTTTCCCAAACACTGAAATCCTTTAATTCATTTTCTAAGCTCATTTCCATTTTTCACCCAATCACTCCCAGTCTTCTATACATAAAAATAGAAAGATTCCACACGAAAAGCCGCCTATTTTTTCGCCTATTTCCATTGAATTTCTTTGCCTCTCTCTCCAATCTCAAAAGATTTATCAGTTTCCCTCTTTTAGAGATCACAAAATAGAGGAGATTGTAAAGTCTTCCCTCTACAATCTTTTCTACAAATTTCAGAAAACGAGACTCCAGAGTTCTCTCTTCAGACTCATTTCTTTGGCTGGGTCGTTCCGATCGTTACGAGGCGCAATAAAGATCAATTAAAATACCAACAAAACGCTTCGAGAATTTTGAAAAGTTAAGAGATTCACAAGAATAAACGTTCACAATCTTTGCATAAAAACATCATTGATTAGTGTTGGATACGGGTTTGGATTTCACTTACCATTAGAAACTGGCTTTTGAAGATGTAATAACACCGCAATTTCACTCAAATTTTATGCAAATTGTAGATTTAATGGAGCAATTTCTCGAAAGCGCAAAGCTAACAATAAGTCAGTTTTTTTTGAGCTAACTAGCAAAAGTCATAGTTGATTCAGTGTGCCAGAAAGGAAGCGTTGATCTAATTGTGATTTGAGCTCAATGTAAGCCATCCAATGCGCACAATCTAAGCGATCAGATTAGTCAATATTTGAAGATACTGTAAAAATAATAGTATCTTATTTCAGCTATAGTACGCTGAAGCAAAAATAGTTGACCTGAAGAAATTTAGCTTTTCAAGAATTGAAAGATCTTGGAAGATTTTTGGTTTACAGAGTGACAGGGATCTTACAGTGTAATTAACTTTTCAACAAGAAGATTTCTCTTTCAGACACAACAGCACCATTGCCAACAGAACAGACACCTTCTCAACTTCCCATTTAGGTGATGCAACTGATTGTAATGACATCAGAAGATTGGCAAGAAGTGAAAGAAGCCCATCCCTCTTCGCTTGTATCAATGCCACACACCCATTCTTTTTCTTTTCTCTTCTGAATGTCTCCGTGCAATTGTTTTTCTCTTTCCCATCCTATTTCCTCCCCCTGGAAGTCGACTTGGGTTTTCCTTATCGGCTTTTGTTCATTCTTGCCCGCTCAAGTGCCCCCGACATGGCCATCTTAAGGGTACAGTATTTTTTATGGTTTAAAAGATATTGTATAAGATAGTTATAGATCTGTTTTTTAAATCTACAGGGTGTCCAATAAAAAAACGTTTTCAAACTGGAATTCCTCAGAATTTCTGGTCGCTTAGAAGTGGTCGATGTGGTGTCATTTGTGGTGAATCATTTGTGCTCTAAAATTTTTCATATTTTTTCACGAAAACATCATCATGATATCATGAGATTATGAGTGCTACCATGAGCAAAAATTTTACTATACAGTCGAGACTTTCTACTGGCATCGTGATATCATATTAGAGCTAATATATAAAATAAGATTATTAACCAAACAGTTTTTTGATTAGAAGTTCCTTGGAAAAACTCGACCTCTCTTTGAAGACGGTGAGTTGAAAGGGCATTATGTATGAGAGATTGAGAAAGGTGAGAAGGGCCTTATGTATGAGAGAATAGTGCATGTTTCAGACTAATAATCTTTTTGGTTAATAATTTTATTTTATATATTAACTCTAATATAACACCACGATGTCAGTAGAAAGTCTCCACTTTATGGTAAAAATTTTGCCCTGTTGATGGTCACATGGTGGTGACCATGGTGGCACTCATAATCTCATGATATCTCTATCAAGTGATAATGTTTTCGTGAAAAAATATGAAAAATTTTAGAGCACAAACGATTCACCACAAATGACACCACATCGATCACTTCTAGCGACCAGAAATTCTGAAGAATTCCAGTTTGGAAACGTTTTTTTATTGGACACCCTTGTAATGACTATCAACGACTCATAGTTAGGCAACAGTTGTAGAATGAAGTAAAATACTTGAACTCCTGAAGCTTACTATTAGAATAGTAGCCATAGATATGTAATAAGCTTTCACTTAGAACTGTAATTTACCGTATTCTACCGTATTATTGTACAATACAAAAATTTCTACTGTTTTTTTTCTCTTCATCCAATCGTTTAGGTGGTGGGGTTACTCGGCGCTGTGCTCCTAGCGATTACAAGTCAGATTTTTAACAAATAAAGACAAAAGTTTTACTAATTAAGCTTTATTGTATAGTTTTTTTTAAAACTATATAATAAAGTAACTTAAAGTTGAACTAACTTAAAGTTGTGATCTGAAGTTCTAGTCGAAATTCCTAGATGGAGCCCCAGCGGTGCCCACTCCGGCTCCCATTCACACCGATAATCCCAAATATGGCGCATTTATGGATGTCGTCAAGCTTCTCAAGTATCTTTTTTAAGATGATTTATAGATAAAACAATAAAACAATCAATATTCATATTCGACATTCAAATCGATTCTTAGGCCAATGATGAACACGTCGGCCGATCCATGCAATGACTTTTACGCCTTCACATGCGGCAACTTCAACGGGGATATGTGCGTTTCAGCTCAAAACACAATAGTTATTGATACAAGAGATTTGTGAAACAGATTCTGTTAAAAATTTCACTCTCTGAAGGTTATTGCAGGTCTTTCGACGTTTCTGACAACGAGAATAGCATCAAAATGGCTCGTCAATTCAAAAAGCAATACTATCTCGATGTTGCGGTAATCAATTACAAAAAAAATATCAAATAATCTTTTCCTATAGCCTCAACCGGTAAACCAAGCTGCTTGGTACTTCCAACAATGTCGACAAGCCAATATGGTGAGGTTAAAAGTGATTAATACTTACAAAAAAACATTCCAGAATTGGAACAGCGTAGCCAATGGTGCACCAACTGTCAGCGTAAGTTTTTCTAAATGATTTTGATGTGCCTGTTCTTTAAAAAAACAGGCTCTGAACGACATGCTTTCAATGACTGGTGTCCCATTCCCGGCTCTCAACCAATCAATCAACAATATCTCTCCACTCACACCAACCCAATTGGGTACCATGATCGGCTATCTGGCCGGAAGCGAGGGTGTTTATACTCTTCTTTCGCCATTCGTTGACACGTAACTTTTAAAAATCTACTCTATATAAAGCAGAAGAGACGTCCGTCTGTCCGTCTGTGCGCAATTACGTTTGCTCTATCGGTTAAAAGAAGAAGTATTCAGCTTTTGCGCTTGCGCGCGATGCTTTGCTCCCAGGGGTTTTCGGCTATACGGAATCTGAGTTTCAAGTCCATTTTTAAAAAAGGGGGCTGGGCTTGACATGGGTTAAGGTAGTTGTAGTCATTTGAATGGATTCCCCGCGGAAAACTCGAACGAAGTGAGCATTTTCTGCTGGAAATCCATTCTAAATCCATGTCTGGACGGACTTTTTCATAAAAAGATTGAAAAAGGAAGAACTGAGTAGCACCCGGATCGGATGGGTTGCAAACAGGCGCTCTCCTGACTGCGCCACGGCGACATGGTAGCCAGGCCAGAAAAATCCGTCATTACGCGGGTTTTTCGGCTCGTTATCTATAAATTTACATTTAAATGATCCATAAATTTGTACTGCTTTTATTCTATTTGAATTTCCAGAAACTGGAAGGACCCAACAGGACCACAGGTATTCAAATCTTTACTAATTATTCACACAACAAACCTCTAGGGCTACGGTCTCTTCATTGATCAACCAACAACAATCTATCGCTCCACCTATTACACAAAAGCCTGGGATCTCATCAGAAGCAAGTAAATAACCAAATTAGACGTCAAAAATGAAACAAAACGTTCAGCTACGTGGCAACCGTGCAAAAGAATCTACAAAAAGTGGCGGCAGCGATGAATATGAATGCATTGAATCCGACAAAGCTGAAGAGTGACGCCGAGGCGCTTGTCGATTTCGAGTTCAATCTTGCCACCCAATACAGGTACTGGAAAAGAATTTTTATTGGCTATTATGTATTATACAATAATGCTTAAGCTCAATGTCCCGATTTAGCACCGACGACACTACCCGGCGAAAGTACCAGCGCAGTTACAATCCGATGACTCGAACCAATGCCACCACCGCCTATTCATTCATCGATTGGAGAACGTTTTTGGCACATGCACGTGAAAGAAATCTAACAAACTCTACTGATAATAAGCTTTTGAAATAAGCAGGGATGTTCTAAGTCTGTAAGCCATAGAAAATCGGCTTTAAATCATTCCCGATCGTGGTATTCTTGAATGAGTCTGGTGAAAGTTTCTCCAGCTGATCTAGTAATCTGTGAAAGCTTATTTTCTTGTAAGCAACTTAGAACCTTTTCTTGCAGTCAATCATCTCTGGCGGCGATGATGTCTACTACAAAGTCGTTCACGATCCAAATTTCCCATTCCTTCTCCTCGAACCAGGGCAATTGTCGAAACTTCAGGTGAGCAAAAGGCTGTAAATCTTAAAAAGAAGAGAGCTAGATTTCCGCAGAGGGAATTGAACCCTCGATCTTTTGCTCTAAGCAATTGCTCTAAGCACTGACCTATTCAGTACCTTGACTTGCCGAGAGAAAAAAAAGAAAACACAAGGGGGAATTTAGTCGGATTTCCCAAGTTTCGATCAACGAACAGTGATCAACTATTTGTACTATCGTTTGGTTGATGCTTATTCATCCTTTTTGACTCCGGATTCATCATCGATCCGATCGGCATTCGAGGTTTATTTTGATTTGTCTTTTCTCTTGAATCTTTTGCATTTTTAGGAGGCCTGGGAGCAGCCTTACATCTACAAACCGACACTCGGACGCCCACGACATCTTCGACCAGAAGAAAGGAAATTCAGGTAAAGTTGCATATAGAAGTATTATATTTCTTAATGCTTTAAGCAAAAAAAAGAATCCTTTACAGACGTCAACATTGGACTGATGATCAAATGTTGGACATCAATTGCGCTCAAGAGACCGTCTTTATGCTACCTGTAAGTGACTAAACATTCTTCAGAAATTCAGATAGAATTTGATAGATTTTGATAGAAATTTAGATAGTAGACATGGAAAAATTTCAAGCCGAACCTAACTCCACCTCTGTTTTCTTGTCATTCTTGTCAAAATTCTCATTTCCATTATTCCCAATTTTCCCCTTTCCCGTTAATTTACTTTTAAGCAAGTCTATTAATTAATTAGTACTATTAAGCATTTACTATTAGCTATTAAGCAGTATAGCAACTATTAAGCAGGGTAGAATTCTTAGACAAATCAAAATTCTAATTCTAGTACGCAAACGCCCGTGCTTTTGTGGATGCGGTTTTGCCGACACAAAGCGATCGTGACTCTCTTCGATACAATGTTCGACAATTGGCTGGTTAGTATATGATGTTTAAAAAGTACCAAAATACTCTAGATAAGTGCACATCAACAGAAAGAAATACTTATAAAAGATATAGAAGATAAAGTTCAAATCTTTTCTTCTTTACTGTTCTTTCCAGAATCGATTCTCGTCGGTTTCCGTTCGATGATCGATCAACTCTCGTGGATGTCCCGATCAACAAAACAGGGAGCTTTCGCGAAGATCGAGAACCTCGTCAAGAACATCGCTTTCCCCGATTGGGTGGCCGATGATCAAAAGTTGACAAGCTATCACAAGGTTTCTTTGATTATTGAATTGAATTGAAATGAATTGAAATGAAAATTAACTCTCAAATCTAGACGCTGATGATCACTCAAAATGACGACTATGTGACCATGTTCAAAAAATCGAATGCTTTCAATCTACAGGTGAACTCTTTAAATATACTATAGATAAGTTATTTTTTCAAAACCCTTTTTCAGATGCAATTCTTGTATCTCCTTCGATCAACGGGATCTGATCGAATTGATTTCAATGGACCCCCGGGAACAACGAATGCTTGGTATCAGGTAAGCAGAGATTTTTGATTGCTAGTTAGATCTGAAATGAATAATTTGACTATTTCCAGCCGGAGCTCAACAGTATCACTTTCCCGTTGGCCATTCTCCGTCAACCATTCTACGTAAGTTCTACAAGCCTTTAAATCCAAGAACAAAGCCCAGTTTGACCAAGTATAGGATCCAAATTACCTGGTAGCAGTATGACCATGGTATACTACGACTAATGTACATATGATTTCGACAAGTCTTTAAATCCAAGGCCAAGTGTATAGTATATCAAGCACAGTATATACTGTAAGAGACAGGGGGTCCAAGAGAGAGACTCATGGTGAGTCATGATCATCGCTGCTGTTATGAGCCTCTTGGAAGGAGGGCTCTTCTGTGTGCCCATAGCTCGGTGCTTCGGGGTTTGGGGTTCGATCCCCCGGTAGGCGTAAAGGCATTCCCTTTGAGAGCTCGTAGCAGAAGTTTACTATACCTACACTTATCCTAAATCTGGAGCATTGCGAGTACAAGGATCTCACCATATCTAGGATCCAAACTGGCCGGCTGCGATGAACTTCGGAGCGATGGGAGTGATTGCTGGGCACGAGTTGACTCACGGTTTCGATGATGAGGGAGTACAATGGGATGGAACGGGAGCGTTGAATGGATGGATGGACACCATGTCCAGCTATAGCTTCAATGAGATGGCTGACTGCGTTGTGCAAGAGTATTCCGGGTGAGGGAAAATTTGAAGAAAATATGAAATACAAGTATAAAATAAAACTTGAACACAAGATTACTCATTTCCATTCCAGTTTCTGTCCACTCCCCGCAAATTACTCAGCTGCCGCCTGTATTGATGGAGCTCAAACGCAAGGAGAAAACATCGCTGATAATGGAGGTTGAGCAGTTCTTTTATTTAGCTACAAATCAATTTTGATTCAGGAATCCATTCGGCTTTCCGTGCTTACAAAGCATTCGCGAACTTGAACGGCCCCGACCCGCTTCTCCCCGACGACGAGCTATCGCAACTCACCGCCGAACAACTCTTCTTCATCGCTTTTGCTCAGGTAGATTTGAAGCCTAAGTAAGATAAGATTGGTTAGACGATCCCTTAAAGCTTAACCGAAGCTCAAAACCAATTTTTCTTGATTGCTTTTCTTGGCTTGATTTCTGAACTAGCCCACAGAAAGTACTTGAATATCAAATAAGGCTTCAAACCATTTTCAAACCCGATCAATCAGAGGCCAGACTTGGAGCTGGCTTTTAGTTGGCCTATGTTTTACTTATGAAATGAAATGCATTCTTTAGGATTGGTGTCAATTGCCCCCAAGTCCCGACCGTGAGATGAGGCAATTGTTGGTGGATGTGCACTCTCCATCACTTTATCGAGTTTTCGGAACCATTCAGAACTTCCCCGCTTTCAAGGTTTGTTATGAAATTGTTTGTTAAATTTCCTCAATTCAGACCGCTTACAACTGCCCGTACAACTCGAAATACGCTCCCGAAAAGCACTGCAATGTTTGGGTTTGTTTATGTGAACGGAAGCATTTGTAAGAATGGTTTAGGTGAGCGAACCGAAACAAACGACCGGCATTCCGCAGATCAAAAACGACGTGAACGTGGCTCCCGCGCTGCCAATCGCTCCACGAAATCTCTCCGTTTATTCAGCGTATCAGCAAGCTGTCGATTTCTTCCAAGCTTCCGTCGATTTCACCCAAGATCCGTGCAACGATTTTTACAAGTACTCCTGTGGAAACTATAAGCAAGTGGTGGGGTTTTTGAATAATAAATTGAAAACAAATCCTTTGAATACCAGTCAAACTATTTATTCTGTTCTAGGTGAGCTTCCATTTGGCTGACGAGAAGAACAAAGCGGCGATGGCCGCGAAATTACTCGACCCAGCCTATGCGCCGACGATCCAGGTTTGTGGCAATCAAAAATCAAAAAAAATCCCTTTGTAGAGCTCAGCCGCCTTGCAAAAGACCCAGCAATTCTTCCAATCTTGCCAAAAAGCTGTGCCGACAATGGCTAATGATTTGAAGAACTTGAATCTCATTCTGCCGAAAGTCAACGAGTTGAAGAAACGTATTGGAGCTGATTTCACGGCCGTTTACAGTCAAGTGCGGGGATGATCATGGGAAGAAATTGATCAGTATATATTTAGGGAATGCCAGTCACAGTCGCGCCAACTCCCATGCAATTGGCCTCGGCTCTTGCCTATCTTTCGTTCATCGCCGGCGTGGATACCCTCGTGACACCAATGGTCGACACAAATTGGGTGACGCCAACTATGGGGTAGAGGAATTTGATCTTTCTTTTAACATCTCTTTCTTTCTTCTTCCTTGTGTTTCCTATTTCTTTTTGAACAAAGTAGAGGCCGATAGCTCAATGGTAGAGCATCTGCCCGATAAGCAGAAGGTCGAGGATTCAATCCTCGGTTCCAAATTCTTTGCCATTCATTTCTTTACTTTAAGTACCTTCAAAACACTGCCACATTATAGTAGATTTTAGCTACAGTAGCCGAATCGTTTTCTAAAAGGTGTTAACTTTCGAAAACTACTGTTACCTTGCCTCTAAACTTTTATCCAATCTACTTGAGAAAACGTAATTTCAGTATTACTGCATTTTTTCCCCAGGATAAATGTAAATTTCACCTGGCATATCTCTAGTTTGGTAAAGATAAGGGGGAAAATAGTATAAATGATTTTATTAGGTTTATGTTAATGAATTCTAACTTAAATCTATTCAAAATCATATAAAACTGGGAGAAAATATACTAAAATTCAATGAAATAAGACGTCAAAGACAATTTGCATATTAAATTGTTGGAAAAGATGCGGAAGTTGTATGTTTAGATAGATGCTTCTTTGTTTTTTTTGTTTGTAATTTGTAATTTGTAATTTGTTTAGATATATGCTTCACGTTGATCAAAACACAGCCTACTATTCGAAATCGTACTATCAAGGTGGAGCGTGGAACATCATCCAACCACAATACCTCAGCAATGCTAAAGCACAACTCACCAATTATGCAACAAGTCAAGGTTTGCTTTTCAATGAGATTTGACGTTAATGAGATTTGAAGTTAATGAGATTTGACGTATTGAAATTCCAGGACTCACCCTCGATCAATCTCTTCTCAACTCAACGTTGTCTAAAGTGTTGGAATTCGAGAGAACTCTCTCAACCATGTACAGGTAAGGTTTTGAAAAGGTTGGCAACAAAAGGGTTGGCAAGAAGTCTTTTTCATCAGAACTTTAGCTGATGGTTTGTATTGGCAAACTACATGTCTTTTCAATAAAATATTTGATTTAATTACCACAAATCTATCCCGGTTTGATACGGTGATCTAAAATCTTATCAGCTGTTGAAGTTCTCATTTGCAATCAAACCATTTTCAGTACCGATGACACGACTCGTCGCCAGTTCCAGCGCAGCTGGAACAATGGAAAAACCGCCGATTTGCAGGTAAATAAACTTAAAAAGAGAAGTTTTTTTGTATCAGCCAATAATGATAACCGATCCCACATTCCAGGCCAACTACACTTTCCTCGATTGGGGCGTTTACTTCACTGATGTTCCATCCGTTGGCCCGTTGGCTGCCGACAAGATGGTGAACGTGATTGAGGTGAGAAATATGCTATAAAAAAAATTGATTGATTGATTTGATTACCTTAAACTTTCTCAAAAAATGATGCAGAAATTGAAGTGTATTGAGAAGATTAGATTGAGAAGATTATGAGTAGCATACATTAAAGTGTATTGGGAAGATTATGCTACTCATTATGAGCAGCATAATCTTCCCAATACACTTTAATTTCTGCATCATTTTTTTCTAAAAGAGCTCCATCATCTTTTTAGACGGACATGCTGAAGAAATTGAGTCAAGACTTGGCCACAATGACAACTCCCGATGTGGTGGTGAGAAAGAGAATTTGAGAAAAGTGTGATTAAATAAATTTTCGGTCAACTATCTCTACATGCGTCTCCTTCTCGCCTATCAAAATCTCATTCCACAATATGGAAATGGACGAATGGGGGTGAGGCTTTTGAATTGAACAGTTTTTCATTTTGAAACTGACTTTCACTGACTACTTTTTTGAGATTCAAATCCCAATTTGACATTTTACAGGTGGAAAAGCGCTGGAAAGGCTTGGGCAAAGGAAGACGATCGGCTGAAGGACAACGAGATATTATCCCACAATTGAGGTGACCTTCGAGAATTGTATGCTTTCACCGTAATCCTAAATCATTTCAGTGACGTCAGCGATACGGATGTTGGCTGTGCTGGTTTGTCTCTTGTATTGTGATTGTGTTACAAAATAAATCTAGGCGCAACTCTTGGCTTGATGCAATACTCGAATGGACGTGTGTTCGTTGATGTTCTCTATCCAGATCAAGCTGCAAAGGATGTCATTCGATCGTAAGTGGAATGCCGTTTGCTAAAATGCGTCAACTTTCGGAAACTACCGTAATCTTGCTTGGATCAATCTATTTTTGTTTTATTTTTGAGTTTCAAATTAAGGATAGAACTAAGAAGGGAAAAACAACAGTAGAATGTGAACAAATGAGATAAGCCATAGACCATTCGATGCAGAATTTCACGCTGATTTCGAATCTGCTTTCCATTTTTGCAAAATCCCTTTCTATAAAAAGTTATATGTGTTTTAAGTTTTAGAGTAAAAATTGGCGAAAATTTGGAGCTGGATAGAGAATAGGGATGCCTTTTTCTCACCAGCCTTAAACGTGGTTGATGGTATAGTGGATTCAAACGTGCTTGATTGTATAGTGGATAAAACGTTTGCATACAAAACGAACGCTGCGTTTTTTTAACTCGATTTCGATTCCTTTTTGGCAAAAATATTTGTAAGGATTTGTAAGGAAACGAGAGTTTTAGAAAGTGGACACGTTTTAGGAAACCTGTTGTTTGAGAAGAAATTTCCAACCTTCCCAACCTTCCCAACCTTCCCAACCTTCCCCCCCCCCCCTCCCCCCCCCCCCTCCCCCCCCCCCCCCTCCCCCCCCTTCCCACCTTTCCCACCTTTCCCCCCCTTCCCCCCCTTCCCCCCCCCCCTCCCCCCCCTTCCCCACCTTCCCCCCCCCCCCCCCCCCCCCCCCTCCCCCCCCCCCCCCCCCTTCCCCTTCCCCCCCCCCTCCCCCCAACCCCCCTAAACCCCCCCCCCCTTCTTAATTCTTTACCTTTTTCACCTTTTTACCCTTTTTTTACCTTTCCTTTTTCCCACTTTAGAACGGCTGGTGGATTGATCTCGAATGTTCTGAACGCTTTCCAAGGAATGTTGGATGGTTTAGATTGGATGGACAACGACAGTAAGAAAGGAGCTTATGACAAAGTTCTAAGCATACGTTAGTTGAAAAAAAAAGCAAATTTTCAATAAGAAAGGGTCTAGAAAAGAACGTGGCATTCCCGGATTGGATCACTGATAACGGGAAACTCGACGATTTCTACAAGAACTTGATGCTCACTGGAGATGACACGTATTACACGATTCTCGACAAGTTGACTGTGTGAGTAGATATTAAGAAAAAATTTGAATTAATTATGTTTTAGCTTCAATCTCTGGACACAGTACAATCAACTCACTGCCACGTCGACTGATCGAACCGACTTCCTGGGACAACCGGGAATTGTTAATGCCTGGTACCAGCCCGAGCTGAACAGCATCACTTTCCCCGCCGGTATTTGTTTGGCTCATACTATTGTATCAATCAGGAGTAGTGCTAAACAAAATTAACATTAACAATTCCCGGTCAGGAGTAGTGCTAATTGCGTACTATAGGAATTTAAAAGTTGATACAAAGCTTAAACAAAATTGATATCGATCTGAATACACTTTTCTCTCAGGTATCCTCCGTCCTCCTTTCTTCCATCCAGAATGGCCAGCGTCCTTGAATTACGGTGGAATGGGTCTTGTGGCTGGTAATTGAGAAAAAGAAGGACTTTAGAGAAAACCAATTCCAGGACACGAGTTGACACACGGATTTGATGATCAAGGAGTGCAATGGAATGGAGTTGGAGCATTGAACACGTGGATGACCGATGGGAGCAAAAAGGGATTCGATGATATGGCAAAGTGTATCATTGATGGTGGGTGATGGAGATGAAAAATCCCTTTTCTAAAAGTCCTTTTCAAAAACTATTGTACTCAAAGAGAAAGTTTACTATTCGATTACGATAGTTATTTTATTTGTTTTTTTTTTCTTCAGAGTACAGCTCATTCTGTCCACTCAAGGGAACCAACTACACTCCGCAATGTTTGAATGGAGAAAACACGCAAGGAGAAAATATTGCTGACAATGGAGGTTTTGAATGTGAAATTTAGCTAAATTAACAATCCAATTTAAAGGTATCCATTCGGCTTTCCGTGCCTATCAAGTACACAAGAATTTGAATGGACCCGATGCACAATTGAATGAAAGAGTCTTGGGACAATTCAGTCACGATCAACTCTTTTTCCTCAATTTCGGCCAGGTTATTTAGTGAAAAAATGGGATTTTCAAAATGAACAATGTTGAGAAGACAAAGATAAACTTATTGCAATTATTGTAGTGATAGAATTGTGACTTACAACTCAATTGCCTAGTTAAAGATATCTTTAGCAAGCACCCCAGGAGGTTCCAGCACCAATTTTCAGTAGATGGGTTAGCCAGAAGTCAGCCTTAGACCTATCATCCCCATTTTTATTTTATGAAAGCTTTCAGGTTTGGTGTCAAATGGACGAGACACCGGATCAATATTTCCGTCAGATCATGGTCGATCCCCATTCCCCGGCCAACTACCGTGTGTTCGGTGCAATCCAGAATTTCCCGGCTTTCCGATCGGCTTTCAATTGTCCCGTTGGTGCCACATATTCCCCGGAGAAACATTGCGATGTGTGGGTGCCGAAGAAAACCCCGTAAAAGAATCATTGGGCAAATATATTTTCTTTCAATAAACGTTTTCCATTTTGTGAATTCCCTATGTGATTTCTTCTCAACATTCAAAAATCACCTGTTTTCTAGAGATACAGAAATTCAAAGGAAAGGAAAATCACTTTTGCTTTCAAATTACAAATGGAGTTGAGGGAAGTTTGCTCTTGGATGGCAACTACAGAACAAAAAAAAAAGGAAAATTCGTAAAGTGGTTGCAATTTTTTGAGGATTAAGTGTTAAGTTGGTCCAAGTGTTCTATAAATGTCACAGATTTCTAAAGGATTCTAATTTAATTAATTAGCTATGATATTTGCGAATTGGCTATGTTTTTTCATTGGGTACTGTAACTTTGTACCCAAGGACAGTAGCTTCAACAAGGACTATAACTTCCTTGAGTACTGTACCTTTGGGTACTATAGCTTTCGGGTACTGTAGCTAGGGCGTGAAAAGGAATTTTGGGAGGAGGTTGAAAAATAGAAGAGCTGGCTCTTGGACAAGTACAGTATTCAGTTTCTTATGTGCATATTATTCATATCTACATTGCAATATCTGAATTGAAATTCTCTTTGTAGCAAAAGAACTTTGTAGAGCTTTGATAAAGCCGGTTCTGACCTTTGATGTGATCCAAAACACAATAAGCGTCCCGTATATAAATTGGCTTTGAAAAAAGGGTATCATCGGAGCTAAGTTCTTCGATTAAATAGTTTATAATCACGTGAATGCACGGAGATTCACATTTTCAGAATCACATTCCCTGAACAAACCGATTACGGCTAGACTAGTAGCTAGAAGCTCATGATCGATCTAGACATCGAAAACATAAGCGAAAAAAGAGTTGATTGAGCATGAAGGAACAGAATCCTCATTGTCCTCATTGTTGGTCGACTTCGAAATTCTTAATTTCGTGTTTCAGGAAATTTCTTCATTCCAGCCATTCGTACAGTTAGTGTTAGCGAATTATGGACGGGATTCTGAAAAACCGTTCACTATCGAGGTTTGATTAGTACTAAATTAACTTAGAGGGATTCTAAAAAATCCTACTATCGAGGTTAGTTCACTAGCGAGGTTTGACTGTAATTAATCATATTTAAGTCATACTGTAATTGACTGTAATTACCAATAAAATGGGCTATTTATTTTCTAAAACAAGCTTTTGACAGATTTAGAAAAGCTTTAGTTTTGTAGATTTCTAGGGGGCAAGAAGTTGAGGAACCAAAGATGATGAACACTTGATGAAGCGATTTGAGCACTTTCTTCCACATAAACCTATTTTGATGTTAATAGAAAAAAGATAGAGCATGAAAAGTTAGGTATATAGCCGAATTCTCAGCTCGATTTGTCTAATTGCTTTAGTTATATGTCTGTTTGAAGAATTTTCAGAAAGACTTGAATTTATGCTCAAATTCGCTTCAAAAGTTACCCAAATTTGCTTGTCTTTAAATTAGATAATAGATAACTTTTATTTAGAGAAGCCTAATTCAATTGGCGTATTAAATATGTTTTATGGAGAATACAAAAAAAGTGTGCCAACTTTCAAGTTGCCAATCTAATAGCAAAGTTTATGCGAAGAAAGAAACACGCGTTGAAGTTGAATCTTCCTATTGGTCGTCATTCTCCATCTTCCCAATCTTCGATGATGTGACCATCAAACATATTTTCACCGACAATCACGGGTTCTAAAATGAACTGTTCGACGTTGTTTATGGGAGAATTACCCATTTCTTGATAGATTTTGCCATTGTCGATGAGAGTTTCGAGCGGTTTAACGTTTGCGATCAACCTAGACGTAGTTGGGCATCGGGTCAAAACAATGACCTACGTTGCTCCGCTTGTCGATGGACAACGCGAGGCAAGCCCAAGCATATCGAAACAAGTCCCACAACTCGCACGACAGTTTTCTTCCATCCAAGTGCTTCGTTTGCACTCTCCCCTTTGAGCCCACATTCGGCATTCCTGGTGGTAATCATTGCATCCTGAATCGTTGTTGGAACGAAATGATGTAGAACTTTCTTAGTAACTTAAAATCAATTTTTTTTGCAAGTGAATCAAACCTCCATAGAGGTAGTTTGACGGAGTACACAGACCACAAGAGACTCGACAATTACAATTCATGAACTCTGGTTTTCGCTTGCACACGCTCTAGTATTAAGATAGTGCTCAATGAGATCAGTGCTTAACTACCCGACTTGCCCAATATGGACAACACGCATTTTTATTATAACATTCAGTGGATCCATTGCATTTGATCGTCCCTGGCGCTGGCTTGGCGAAAACTAGAAATTCCTATGCAGTGAAAATTTTAAGTCTGACCTTGAGGATTCCGGCATGCAGTAGCTCTTGTTTGCTGACACTGATTGCAACTTCTACGACAGTTCTCAAAATATTTGGTTAGAAGTGAGCTAGGTATGTAGAATTTGGATTCATAATTTATTCTAACCTCAGCCATCCAGATGGGATTATTTAGACATTCGCCACTTTGCGCCCAGCTGACGCATGAGAAATGACGATCCGCACAATCTGAGATGGTTTGGAATAACAAACTAGGGCATCCAAACCGTCTTGTATAGGAAAAGTAGGCCTGCAAATGTTGCAAGAGGGTCCACAGACACTGTTCATAAAGCCCGGATTGCGTTCGCATTCCCCAGCGTTAGCCCACGGTTGACAGCACTGGTGCTTGTTCCAGCATTTCTGGAATTGCATAATAAAAGAGAAATTTATTTTGATTATCATTTGAATCTCTACTGATGGAAGGAACAACTTCAATACCTTCCATACCACATCCATTTATCTTAACCAGTACAAACAACAAATGCGCCAGTGTTAAAACAAAACGAAACTGTTTACAAACAGATAAGCTTGGGTTGCCCCAAACGGCCCACATTGGTGCAGACCTGACTTGTGGAAACAGCTGTTGTTAAGCTGCTCGCTTTGTCTTCCGGAGGGAGTTCCTGAGGGAAATTGTCAATAATTGATAATGTGGATTGTCGGTGATTATTTGTATGTTCTTTCAATGATTTGTTGATGTCACTAAGATGTCTTGAATGAGTTATCCACCTCGGTATGTTTATTGTTATTTATAGTAGTCGTGGAGTCGTTTCGAGCGTCGTTTATAGTATAGTAGTTTTGTTAGAAGACTCAATAATTTAAACCTCACTTGGCAAACATCTTGCTTGCAAATGCCATTATAACAGGCATCTTCGCCGTTTGCATAACCAGTGCACTAAATTCAAAGTGTTTCTTTTGGGTTCAAAGTGTCTCATCTTTCAGTGCAACACTAAACGTTTACCAACATTGCCACCTAATCGAATTTTCGATGCGCACCTCAGTGCACCATGTGAAACATCGCAAAACAGGAAGCTGAATCTCCGAAGTTTTGAATTTAAAGGTTTTTCTACCGGCTACCACAATCTAAATCTTCCACACTGCACGTAGGTCTTGGGGCATATTCATAAAGATTATCCGTGTAGGCAAGCGAGAGACCATCTCGATTCCTGAATTTGCTCGATTCCAGAGAAACTAGTTAGACTATACTGTAAAGAAGAGAAAGGCACCATCGTTGCTAGCGCGTCATGAAAGGAAGTTGCACACGGAGACGGTTTATCAAACGTACGAAACGACGGATATTCGTTTTCCATTTGATTTCGCTTCTGCAATGGGATTCAATTAAAAGCAAGTCCATTTGATAAGTCCTCATTGATAAGTGATATGATATGATAAATCCTCATCTAGCGATAAGTCCGAAAATTTCAAATTACGTGGATTTTCAACATTTGCTTGTTGTATTTGATTAATCCATGTTACTTTGCAGAATTCGACATTCTTTCATATTAAGAGCTTCCCTAGTACATGTATGTATATATAGCAGAACCTGTTTTGACTGTCTCCACGTTTCCCAAATCAAATCAACAAATGCATGATGAAGGTAGAAGATCGGATCATTAGCTGAGGTCATTGGATCAAGCATATGACCTGTGAATTAATGGTAAACAAGGAAAAACGGCGGATGACTGTTGCCAGTCAAACCTCCAATCCAAAGATGTATTTCGGCATGTAGCCCCTCAATGCTGGAGTTAGTGGAATACTTCTGTTGTTTGGCATCTTTGAAGCAACCCTGAAATCGTCTATTATAAGTTGAGCAAAGTCTGTAGAGAGTTCATACATACATAGGTACAGTACCGTAGCCAGGAATCTTTTTTTTTGGGGGGGGGGGGGACAAAATCTAAATTGTTTCAAAAATACATTGCAAAAAGAGGAAAAATGCCATTTTTTCGGATTTTGGGGAGGGAAGGGCATTTGTCCCCCTTGCCCCCCCTGGCTACGGGCCTGTGTAGGCACGTATTACCCCTTGAATATCACACAGAAAGAGAAAGAAAAAACAACGAACCTCTCTTGGAAACGAGTAGGCCAACATATTCATTAAATTAGCTCTATTTAGTAGAAATTCAACGACCTCATCCTAAATTGTTCTCTTGAAACGAAACAGCAAATGTTGATACCGTGAAGGGGGATCCATCGAAGCCAACTTGCCGTTGAAGAAAGCGGTTCTAAAAATATCGAAAATATTCGTCTCTCTGATCTAAAAGAGGTAAACGATTTTCCCCGCGCCTCACATTTAAGTCCATCCAGTTGGCAAATGGTCCATCAATTAAAGCCCCGGTGCCAGTGCCCATCAATTCTGGTCTGAATTAATTCTTGTTCGTGATGAGAAGTCACTATAGTGGTTGACTTTGCCTTAGCCTTTGACTAGTCATTACAAATAACTTAAACTTAATTTGGTTGAAAAAGCAGCTGGCTTTTCCATTTCAATGAAAATATGGGGTTTGCTTGACAAACTCACGAGAAAAGAGAAGAGTCCTTTGGTGCAGGTAAGCGTGACTCCAAAGTGGAATCCCAATAAGGAAGAAATACTTCCGGATCGACTCTTCTCAATTCAAACTCCAACCTGAAGAAAATGCGCATACATATGCCCTTATTATACTCACCTTTTAATAAATTCTCGATGCCAAGGCAAAAAAGCTGGACCAGCATGAGCCCCGAGCGTTGTTTGCATATTGGAATGCGTATCCACTGTAAAGTTCAAGTTTCTCCAGACCAGGCGACAAGATCTAATAAATGGCGATAACACAAACCAAGTAACCAGAATTTGCCATTTTGTTTTATATTGAGCATAGCCTGATTGAAGCGCGTTCTTTCGTCATCACTCATTAGACGGTATTCCTTTCGCTTAAGCTGAAATTCTGGATAATTTTTTGATTGTCTAAGGGGGATTTGTGGAAGTTTCCCGGATAATCATAAAGATTAGTTGGTGAAGGTACTGTAAAAGAAAAAACACGCCACTCACTTTGTATTCAAGAAAAAAAATTTTAAAAATAGTTTACTTTCGCAACAGCTTTGCCATTAAACATACAGATGTTTTGATTTTTTAAGCCTAAATCATAAGCATGAGCTCTGGATCTTTTAAGGAAAATAGAAACCTGTAAGTGCTTCACATAGACAAGCTAAGTCCATGCACTCTTCCAAAAACGGAGGACATCCTTCACAAGCTGCGCGACTATCAGCACCTCTAGGCGGCGCATTCTTTAAAACTTGTGTTTAAAGTTGCTTCAAATTCCATTTTTTTTCTATATTTTGAAGCCCAAAAACATTAGATTGTTGGCTCATTGAAGCTTATAGTTGATACTATTGATATTAATCAGATACAACAGGAAAATACGACAGAACCCACTCTCGCAATTTGATCCATCTTAGATAGTTGTTCGCATATAATTTTCTCGGTTCGTGTGGTTAAACCTCTGCACTCGGGAGACTCCAAAAGCACCTCTGAAGCTTGTAGAAATAGCAGAAGAAATAACGGACGTGACATCTGCAACTTTAATATTGCTTTTCCGTGCTAATGACGTGTATAGACATAAGGTGACTAGAACATTTGTAGTGGTGAAACCACATATTTACTTATTGGCTGTAATTGGAATTGGGGATTTGGCTGTAATTGTAATTGGAATTGGGGAATTGGCTGTAATCAAGCGTGACTAGAACATTTGTAGTGGTGAAACCACATATTTACTTATTGGCTGTAATTGTAATTGGAATTGGGGAATTGGCTGTAATCAAGCGTGACTAGAACATTTGTAGTGGTGAAACCACATATTTACTTATTGGCTGTAATTGTAATTGGAATTGGGGAATTGGCTGTAATCAAGCGTGACTAGAACATTTGTAGTGGTGAAACCACATATTTACCACTAGAGTTATAGTAAATGATCCTCAGGTGATTCGACGATTTTTAGACGATTTTTTAGAGGGAAGAAATAAAAATCGCCACAAGCTTATCATTTCCGCATTCCGCCAAGGTCACTTTGTCCACAAATCAACGAATTGGCTGTAATCAAGCGCCAACCTTGATCGGGCTAACTTTGCGATAAAAGCATTTCGAGGGAGCATCGACCGTGTGCCGAGAAATCAATGGGTAGTAGTTTGAGACATTGGTGTATCGAGTTGGGGCAGATGCTTCTCTCTTCAGGACAAGACCGAGTCTTCCTGTAAAAGTTGGTCTGAGTGTTTTTCAGTGTTTGACCAACCAAAGAGATGATAGCTAAATCTCTAAAACATTTAAGATACATCAAAGCTTATCATATTCTTATGCGTAAGGAGTACTTTGAATTTAGAATCTTCTTGTTAAGTTCTTAACTATGAATTCTCAAAGACCAAAAAGCCGTTTCCTTATTTCACTATTTCCAGCAAGAACTCCCATTTTCCGTTGAACTCACAAGAATTCGCAGCGGATCCGCCCCAAAAGCGAACGCTTTTGAAGAGCGCGTTTCTTGTCAACTTTTTGCTCCTTTGATTTTGCTGACAGCCCATCTCACACTGAATGAATGTTCTTTGATTCTCAATGAATGTTCTCATCATTTCTTTCTGAAACCAACAAATTGAGCATCGTCTGAGGAGACGTTGAAATACTCTTGAATCAAGCCGTCGTACAGGGTTTTCTTCGAGAGAGCCCCAAACTGTAGGATTTGTTGATTTAATGAGTAAAAAAGATTCCAACCTTTTCGGAGCATTTCGCCTGACATTGAGCCAAACGAAAATAATGAGCGAAATCGATCTGAATGTAGGGAATCACGGTGAATGCGTCGACGAGGAGCAAAGTCGACGAGACGAGCAGAAATATCGGCACTGACAACTTGTGACAACTGGCACTTGTGAGTTGAGTCGCATGGTCTGAAAGATGAGATACATATTTTGAGCTGATCCCGATGGAATAGAGAAAATAATGAAGAAAACGAGTGATAAAATGAAAGATAGCTATTTCTAGATACTCGAAAGGAAATTCTGAGAAGATCGCGATGCTGATGCTATCTAAGCAAGAATACTTTAGGACCTTTCTAAGAGTCAGGGTCATCAAAATTTTAGTCTTCAAACTTTAAGCCAATGGAATATGCAGTTCGAGAAATCGGCTAATCGGTAGGAGATTGATAGAAAGCTTTAAAGGTAAGGACCTCAAGAAATTCATTCCACAATAGCACTACGGTTAGGTTCTGAGGCAAAACCGAATCAATCGATTTAGGTTTTAAATCGAATATTAATCGATTTCAAAACCAATTAAAAATTCCGTTTAAATCGAATCTAATCGGTTTTTTGTTTCTGGAAAATTGCAAAATATTCAACTAACGAAAAATTACAAAAGACCTATGCTAATTTTCTTGTCTAACTAAAATTTTGATTTTACATCAAGTCCAGCTAGAGTTTGTTTAGTTTAATGTTTTTTTTTGCCAAAAATTGTCACCAAATGGTAGTTTTTAACGGGGAATTTCAAGTGAGTTTGTCAAAATTTTAGTTCAACCAATTGCCCTTTCATGTCTTTTATTTTATTTCAAATTTCCTTTAGCATGATTTACAGTCGACTCTCGATATAACGACTCTCGTTATGACGATATAACGATTCGTATGTCCGATCCCGGCCATCCGCCCTCATAAATGCCTTAAATAAACCCTCGATATAACCATTTTTGACCAAAATTTTGGAAACTTCGACTTGATATAAGGATTTTTGTCTATTTTGTGGCTAAATTACCGTAGTTTTCATTTACTTATCTAAATACCGTAAATCCTCTATTAGAGCGACATGCCGCTCTATTTTTCGATGTCCATTTTACGGATCCCCAAAAAAAAATCACATAAGGGGGTACCACATTGTTGAAAAAAAATGATCGAATCGATTTTAATTTTACTACCATGATTTATAAATTATAATTGGGACCTGTATGCATCATTTCAAGCACTTTCAAGAAAATTTTTTTGGAAAAAGTTGCATCTGGGAGCTGTCAAAATTAGCATTATGAGGTGCCGCTCTAATAGAGGATTTACGGCAATATTTTTAAATTTATTCCAATTCAAATTTCTCTAAAGAATTTTATTAAATTTACATTTTCGTCCTTTTAACATTTTCACAGATCACATCCATAAAGGGTGTAACTAACGTTTTTGCTCTGTGTCCGGTTTTTTTTAACTCTGCAAGGAGCGGCTGATATCGACAGCGATACCGTCGAGGATTAGAAAAACAAAGTTTTGCAGGGACTTTTGCAAGATTTCGACGCGAAAGACATTTTCAATCTTGATGAGACTGCTCTCTTTTGGAGGCTTACACTCAACAAAACAATGATCTTCGGAGGCGACCCATGTACAAGTTGTGCAAGGAAAGAGTGACTCACTTGTTTGGGGTCAATTGGTCGATTATGGAGATTTGGATGGCACACATGATGCGGATACTTTCTTTTTTACTGAAGAGTCAGTTGCAGCTACAGGAATGATGACCTTGGCGGGGATCTTGGCTCTACAAGAATTCTTGACGATTTGCCCCAATCCTCGGATGAAAGTGAAACAGAGGAAGTGGTGGAAGAAGAGACAATTTCTCGGTCCTACGCCCATCGATGTTTTCAAACGCTTAGGAAATACACCAAAATGATAGCGACTCAAAAATTTACAATGCTTTGACTGTTTTCGATGATTTGTTTTTTAAAAGAGCCTTAAATTTTGATTCTTTTTGTTGACTTTTTGTTAAACTGTTTGCTATAATAATTGATTGTTTTACATTGTTTAGATAATAAATTCGTTAGAAAACCTCGATATAATTCTGTGCACTCAAAGGAACCAACTACACTCCACAATGTTTGAATGGAGAAAACACGCAAGGAGAAAATATCGCTATCGAGAAAATGTCGAGTAAGGAGTTCCTATTAAAAGGAATCAGTAAAGTGTACCATCCATAGTCCCATTTCACTAGAACACCACTTTGCAGAACTTATTGCAATTGCAGTGATAGAATTGTGACTTACAACTCAATTGCTTAGTTAAAGATATCTCTAGCAAGCACCCCAGGAGGTTCCAGCACCAATTTACAGTAAATGAATCAGCCAGAAGTCAGCCTTATACCTATCACACACATCCGCTACTATGGGAAAACACTTTTGACTTAAAATCAAAAATCCGAATTCGGAAATTCTTAGTTGTTGTCCAGACAAGAAAAATCCAAAGTTTGAGAAAAATCCCCCTACTCACAAGAAAGTTATTACGGCGTAAAGTTTTACGAACAAAATGTTAAGGAATTTGTCAAAATTTCGATTTTTCCGATTTTTCTCATATTCACTCCATAAGAACGTGCCAAACAATTACAAAGTTGTCGCCCTGGTTTTACTCTTTCTAACGATACCCTTGCCATTTCACTGCATTTTGTTTGCGATGAGTTCTGAGGTTTTTCCCGGCGTCACTTTTAGACAAATATAGGGAAGAGTGCCCATTTTAGGACCGCAGAAGCAAAATTGAGTTCCTAGGTGTTGTTATTCTGGATCTATATTAAAAACATATTGCTTTTTTTCCTAAAATAGTTTTTTATACAGACAATTCCGTGAGAGAATTTACATAGATCTGCCAGATAAGAGTCGAGAACTCGCCATGAATAGAGTGTGTTCCTCAAGAAATAGTGCAAAATAGGAAACGAGTGCATTTAAAATAAACTGAATATCTTACAAATTGTAGAAGTTATTCATGATATTCAGTTGATTGACTGACCTGAATCGTTTCTGTATTTCACACTATTTCTTGAGGAACACACTCTAGTCATGAATGTGAGAAGAAACACAATTTATTGTATGCCTGCATTTATTTATTGTATGTACTGTATATTCATATATTATAAAACCTTATTATGAAACAATTTTCAGATGGCTCGACCAACGAAGAAGGTGCTTTCAAGGAGACGTAATATCGAAGGTGGTCATCTCGCAAACCTCAAGATACCGAGCTCCAGTCAACGGTGGAACTCAAAAGCTGTTCAAGCCGAGCCTGTGAAGAAAGTCTTGAAGAAACGCGCTGCTGTAAGCCAGCCCTTTGATCAAGTACAGCATTTGGAGAATGCTCGCCAACGACGAGCTGAGAAAGCTGACGAAAAGAAATCACAGGAGAAAGCGAGACAAAACGCTGTCTTAGTGACACAACTGAAGAAACAAGTG